AATACAAATTGGAAAGATAAATATTGACATACAAATGAAATTAACACTTCAATTAAGATAAGGCAGCATGAATCGATTAAATAGCAAGACCCATCTCTATTTACTGCCTACAAGAAACACAAAGACCGAAAATGAAAGAATGAAAAAATGTTTCATGAAAACAAATCAAAATGAGAAAAAGTAACTATCAAAAGTAGGTTTTAAAACAAAAACTGTTAAAAGAGACAAAGAAGGTCATTATGCAGTGACTAAGAGATGAAATCAACAGGCAGATGTGACTATAGTTCTATAGTATTAAATTCTACAGCAATCAGGTATATAAAGCAAATGCATGCATCTGCAACCAACTAATCTTTGACAAATGAACTAAAATTACCCTTTGAAGAAAGGAAAGTTTCTTAAACAATGATAATGCAAAAATTGGGGTTTCCATGCTACCAGCTGCCTAGCTGTGGCTGGCGGGATTTTGGTCAGCTTAGGCATATGACCTGGGATTTGCACCTACCAATTGTGCAGCTGCATCTGGTGGGATTTTGGGCAGCCTAGGCATGTGATTCTGGATTTCCATTCCACCAGCTGCATAGCTGTGGCCAGCTGGATCTTGGGTTGGGCAGCCAGGGTGCCAATGGCACCTGGTAAAGTCCTTGTGCCACCCAGTGATGAGCCCTGGGTATTTGGGGGTGTGGGCCTACATGTAGTTAGGGGATGCACAGGTGGGGGAGAATGGGGAACTGAGGGTTCATGTCCAGGTGAGAAATGCCTTTCTAGGGATTTCCATGGACAGAGCCATTGTACTAGCAGGTAAGCAAGAAGGGTGAGACTGAGCTGTTTGGACTGGGGAATGGCAGTTACTTTAAGGAACCTTAAGTCAGACTGAAGTACCAGCTCATTTGGGAAGCCTGATCTTGGGTAGTTAGCATTTACTATCACTAAATACCACTTACAGGCACAAAGCTAGGGGCAGGGGCCTGCCTGCCTGGCAGGGCTGGATCACAGTACCTACCAGTGAGAGTCAGAACAGGGAATCGGTAATGTGAGGCTGGGCCATGACACTAAACAGTATGTGAGTGAATCAGGTCTGGGGGCAGAATCTGTGGGAGGGTATGGATGCTCACCCCTGTAGAACAACAATCTCCATTGGCACATTCAAGAACTATGGCTTGGAACAGGTCTGGTTGGGAAGACACCCTGGCTGAGCTGTGGTTCCCACCATTGAGTGTGTGAGCTGGAATAGGGCAGCAGACTGTGCTGGCCATGGCTACAGTCTCCCTCAGCATGGGTGAGGACTGGTTCTGGGGAACACCAGACTAGGTTAGACTCCAAGCATCCACTGGTACTTGGGAGAGCCTGATTGCTGAACAATGTGAGAGCTGTGTCTGGTTGTGGACCAGATAAAGCTGGCCTGCACCCAATAGTAAGGGCCAGAATGGATGTGGGCCAGTTGGAAAGGGACACTGTTCCTGCCAGAACAAGACATGGACAAAGTCAATCTGGCAACACCCCATCAGTGTGCACAACATCTGCCACTGGAAGAAGACCTGATAGAGGAGCCTGGGGAACTCCTCTGAAAGGACACAGTCCTTGCAGATGAGTGCAAGAACCAGTCCTCCTCAGTGGAAAAGACTCTTGGATAACTGGGCCAGATCAACATGAAGAATGCGGCAGCCCATTGAGGCCTACTGAGGACATCTGGTTCCATGCCAGAAGAAGGAGGGCAGAACAAATTGGACAACTACCCCAGCCAAATCATAACAGCAAGTATCTGGGCAAATGGCAACGTTAAGGTAGACTATGTCAGCTAGTGTACATTGAAAGTGTTGCCTCATCCTTAGATCGGTGAGACTGACAACATTTCAGCAATATCAAAACCACCTGGGCAGAGCCCTCAAATTCTGTGTCACATCGGGACCCTGGATTGATACCGGGTGGCCAATAGCCATCCCCAGGTTTGGGCAGTTTGGAGGCTAGATATGGCTTCTCCCCTCCCCCTAGAAACAGGAAGAAGAAATAGAAAATTTGAAAACAATGATCACACCCACTTTTCCCTAACTCTTGATCCTTCCCACCCTAATCAGCCATGTAAACATAATTTAAAATTAAAAAAGAAACTAGCCCTACATATGCAGAAGTGGAAATAAGATCCCCTACCCTATTTCTTATTAAAAAATATCAAAACATAATGGACCAAGGGTCAAGATCTATGACATTACATCATCAAATTACTAGAGGAAAATCTGAAGAAATTATAAGACATTGGCATAAGAAAGAATACCTGGGTATGATCCTAAAAATACAAGCAATAAAACCAGTACAGATAAATGAGGTTACAATCAAGTTACAAAGCTGCTGCATGGCAAAGAAAACAATGAATAAAGCGAAGAGGCAATTGACAGAATAGAGAAAATATCTGAAAATAATTTATCTAATAATGTATTAATATCCAGAATATACCAGAACCTCAAGAAACTCAACAACCACCACCACCTAGCTAAGAAATGGGCAAGGGACATGAGCAGGTATTTTCAAAGGATGAAATACAAATAGCTAACAGACATATGGAGAAAAAAGATTCACAATCACTAGCGTTCAGGAGGAAAAAAATAAAAATAATAATGAAGCATCATCCCAGCACTATTAGAATCCTAGGGTATCACCCAAAACTCAAAAAATAAAAAATGCTGGTGAGGATGTGGAGAAAACGTTAGCAGGAAAGTAAACCTAGTATAGCTATTACGGAAGACAGTATGGATAACAGGTTTCATAGGATCGTGATCTCCAGAAGAGAAAGAAGTGAAAGAGTTCTTTGCTTGTCACGTTTTGTGTATAGATACTTTCAATGTATGATCTGAAGAGTGGATATCAAAATAAACTCAGTAGTCTCACCGAGTTGTGAAAATAAAGCTTAGCATTCATGAAGGCTGAAGCAATCTAACATTCATAAGTCAGTGTATTACAGAAGGCAGAGATGTATAATGAAATTATTCTGGAAAATGTCAGTGGATCGTCCTTGAATCTTTATCTCAGGTTAATACAGAATCACTAGAGGAAGCTGGTGCAACAATGCCTGAGGACCATGTCTAGATGTCAAAGATACATTTATGAAATGAAAGGGCAAACCACATATTGGGGAAGGGAAATTTGCCAAAAACAAATAAATAGACAGATTGATACATGAATAAATAAATAAAGGACCTATATGCAGAATATATGACAACTCTTATAACACAGAGACATCCAAATAAAAATAATACAAACATCTAGAAAAGAAAAGTCTGTTTTTCACAAAACTTAAAACTTACAGAGACATGCAGAAACATGCTACAGGTCACACTTGATCCAGGTCACACAGGCTATGGCTGACCTCTGACAGACAACACTGTAATGACACTATGAACTATTTTTAACTAACTGAGGTTTATAAAGTGTATACTTTCACAGTGTACATGAAATGTTCCTCGAGATAGACCATGTACAAGTCTCAAAACATTGCAAAAGATCGTCCAGAATGTTTTGTCAAACTAGTTTTTAAATTAGAAATTAGTAATTATAAGGTAACTAGAAAAGCACAAGAAATTAGAAATTAACAATAACCCTCTGAATAACCCATACATTAAAGCAGAACTAAATTACAATGAATACTAGGAAATATTTAAGTTAGACCATAAAATATAACATATATAAATTTGTTGAGTATGACTGAAACAATACTTGGAGAAACTTATGGCTTTAAACAATCTCTGAAAAAAAGGGGAAGAGAATGATAAATGGGAAAAATATGAAGGAGTGGTGGTAAAGAATATATGAGAATTCTTTATGCTATTGTTATCACTGTTTTGCAAGTAAACATTAAAACAAAATAAAATATTCTCAGAAACTGCTGAATTTTGTGTTCAACTTGGTCATTTTTCAAAGATGAATGTGTGAAGCAAAATTAGATATGCAATATGCAATCAAGATACTGTACCACCTCTCTTGCCATTTCAAATTCCCAGAAAAGATTCTCAAAATAACAATAAAAAAGTTAAATTCTAGAAAAGCTATGAAGGGTGGCATTATTCAACTAGAAATTTAAGTAGCTACTGAAATATAGAAATCAAATAGGATAATATCTATGGGCATTTTGGGAAACCACAGGACCTAGAACAATTATTTAAACTCTTAGTACACACACAAGAGAAATTGTGATAAAATAATAAAATCACTTTTCAAATCAGAGCAGCTTTCTTTCAGAATAGTACATTGACTACTTCAGTCTTTCTTCTTTCCTGCAAAGATGTTTCCTCCACACTGTTTTTAATTTTGCTGCACAGTGAAATTATTTGATGAGCTTTAACAAAATAGTGAGTCAATCTTATTTAGTTTCAGAACAGAGGTCTGAGCATCAGATCTATGTTTGGTACTACAGACACAGAATGAACAAAGAAAAAATAAACTTGCTTTATGCAGCTTATTAATGTAGAATAAATGAGAATTTGGATTCTATGTAGACATTTGGCATGTTGCTCAAGAGAACTAAAGAAAGTTATAAAATACATGCAAGTAAATTAACATGCAAAATGGTCATAAAATTGAATATGTAATAAATATTTTGGGAAAATTATACAGGAGTAGAACCACTCTCATAACCAAAAAATTCCAAACATATTAAGAAATTAAATATGCAAATTAAAATGTATAAGGAAAATACAAGAGGGAATTTTTATTGTTTCAGGTAAATCTTGACAGATATGTCACAAAACCAAACCTCTTATAAAGAAACAATTTAAATAGAATGAAAATACATTCTAAGTCTTTTAGCAAAAGAACTAAAAGTGAGATTTGTACTATACATAGACAAAGTTCATAAAATCAATATAAAACATCATAGCAATTGAGAAAACATTATGTTAATCTACAAGTCAAATGTTATGTCAAGATCTTCAACATAATTTAAAATTCAGATTATTAATAACCTAATATATATTATTTCGACTGTTCCAATAATTTAAAAGATTACTTACCATCTGGCACATGTTCTTCGCTGTTTCTGTTCTTTTGCTTTATTGATTTTGCAGTTGTGTGTGTGCTACCATGTATGGTTATTGTGGAAAGTTTTTCTAGTTTCCAATGAGTCCAAAACCCTCTTGGTGGTTTTAAACCTTAATATAAAACAAACATTTAACAAAAGAAATTGAAATTTTGAAAATACATTTTAATTTGGCAAAGCATTTTATGATTAGTATAAATGGCATCCTACAGACAAAAACTACCACTTTTATTTATTTGTTTGTTTCCCCCATATTATTACAATAGTGTAGCCCTTCAGGAAGAGTTGCAAATCCAACATTCTGTTATTTAGTGTATCATGGCATTGTAGGTACGGACAACGGTTGATAGTGTAACATCCTATGTCAAGGTATATTTAATACTTTCATTGGGAATGCTTTTTTTATTTGGGAATAGACGTGTATACTGCAGCATGTCTTCTCTTCCTGGTACGCTAGTCTCTATTAGAAAGTTCATCTATGAGAATATATGAATATACATGTTTACACACACGCACACACGTATACATATCTTGTATTTTGTATATATATGTGTGTGTGCATCTTGCATTTTGCATAGATGTTGCCTTATATTCTTTATAAGATGTACAGGGTTCAAGACATCCTTTAACCATTCTAAACATCTGCATCTTCTGTAATTAAAATGAGAAAAATAAATTCCTTTCAGTACTTAATATATTTGTTAGTACCAGGAAAAGCACAGGAGCATAAGCTATTATTATCATCATTGTTACCCTCCAAAATACTGTCCATATTTTCCGAGTGGAGAATGATAAGTGAGGATTACCTGATAGATTAGGTAATCAAGTTAAATCCCCGAGATGTTTTTAGATAAGTTGTCACTGATTTAGAATGAGTTATCCCGAGACATACTATACAGAAGCCTTCTGTTTGATTCTCTAGAATTCTTATGGATAGATGGCTTATATTCTAAAACATTTTATAGCAATAGAAAATTTAATATATTGTAAAGTCAACAGATCAACTGACTGTCACTGCAGTCAATAAAAACAAAACAAAACAAAAAAGATGCACAGGATTAAATCAAGCAAAGAAGTTTCTGCACTGCAAAGTAACTATCACAAGTTAGGAGATAATAGAATGGTAGAAAACATTTGTCGATTATGCACCTCACAAAGGATTAATAGCAAGAATATATAAACAACTCAAGAAATCCAACAGAACAATTCTGTTAACAAATAAGAGACAGAAGTTACTGACACATGAGAAAATGCTCTGGATCTCCATCCAAATGACAAATGCTAAAACAAACAAACAAAAAATAAAACAAAGTATCTCACCCCCAGTTAAAATGGCTATTATCCAAAAACAAATACTGGCAAGGTCTTGGAGAAAAAGGAACTCAAAAACACTTTGAGGAGGAATTCAACTCAGTGCAGTCATGGAAATTAGTACGGAATTCTTCAAAAACTAAAAATGGACCTACCCTATAACCCAGCCATCACCCTTCTGAAATTAATTTCAAAGAAAATGAAGTCAGTACATGAAAGAATCATCTGCACCATGCTTATAGCTGTCCAATTTCCAATAGCAAAGATACAGAATTAACCTAGATGTCCATCAACACCCATAGAAGATTAGTAGCTGAATGAAGTGTGGAATATATATCCCCAATGCAATACTACAGACATAAAAACCAGTATTTTGACATTTGCAACAAAATGTATGAAACTGGAGATCATTAAGCTAAGTGAAATTAGAAAGACACAAACATTGTATGTCTTTTCTCAAATGTAGACTTTCATGATAGTACATATAAACTTTTTTCTTTTTAAGATTTATTAATTTTTTATTGGAAAGTCAGATATACAGAGAGGAGGAGAAACAGAGAGGATGATCTTTTGTCTGCTGAGTCACTCCCCAGCTGGCTGCAATGGCCTGAGCTGAGCTGATCTGAAGCCAGGAGCCAGGATCTTCTTCCTGGTCTCCCATGAGGGTGTAGCAGGGAGCTGGAAGGGAAGTGGGCCGTTGGGACATGAACTTGAGCCCATATGGGATCCTGGTGTGTGCAAGTCAAGGCCTTTAGCCTTTAGGCTATTGTGCAGGGTCCAAGAGAGAGTATATTTTTAATAGATGAATTATTCTTCACAAACTACTAGAAAGCATGCTAGAAAACCTAGAATTAGTCAGGAGGAAAATGATGAAATGAATTTAAAGGCCTTTGTAGGGTTTTCTTATAAAGGTACTTAAAAAGGAAGGTGAGCAAGCTTACATGCAGCTTATTTGAATAATTTTAATGGGGCTCAGGGTATGGTGGCTAACTCTGAGTAGCATCAGCCACTATCCAAAAGACTCCCTTATCTGTGTTGACTAACATAGAAAACAAAACAGTATAACCTGTGTGGGTAAGACTGACATTTTGGGATTTAGTTATGATTTACAGCCTTTTTCTGTAAATTACGAGGAATAGCACATGCTTGGTATTCATTGATATCTTTACTTAGTGGAGTGTTATGAAGTGAAATGAAAGTTTGCCATCACAAAAATCTCTTAAACATATAGATATTAGGACGGCTAGGTTAGAACGTAACACTACACTTCTAAATTTGTATTGTAAAATATGTGAAATTTGTTCACTATATATAACTGTAACACATTAAAAAATTTCTGAGTAGCATAAGTTATTAATTTCGATAAAGTAAAATCCATCAACTTTCCTTTTTGATATTCTCAGGAATCATTTCTAACTGAGAACTTTAAACACTGTTTTCCCTAATATTTCAATTAATTTTTTGCATAGGGTGTAAGATTTAAATCCATGTTTCAGTATATGAAATCTTATGTTCAGGACTGTGTTTTGCAACACAAAAACAAAACAAAACACTTTTTTCTGATTTGGAAAATCTCAGCTATTAAGTATTTAAGTACTCATTCTGTATCTACCCTATTAGGTCAGGATTTCCTATTAAATATGTATTTGCTACATAATTTGACACTATTTCACAGTTCTTGGATTTTTGTTTGTATTTTAACCTTTTTCAATTTAGATCACTTCAGTTAGTCTGCCTTCAGGCTAATGGAAACTTTGGCTGTGTCAAGTCTTGATAAATTCCTCAAAAATGTTCTTCATCTCTGTTAATGTGGTTTTTATTTCAAACTTTTGCATTTGATTCTTATAGTTTACACGTCTGTTGAAATTACACATGCATGTTACTTATCTTTTCTACTTGAGTCTTTAATATATTAAACATAGGTTATTTCAAATTTCTTGACTGGTATTTATCTGAAACTTGTGATGCTAATTACTTCATTCCTTAACTGTTTTTTTTGGTATGCTTTACATATTTTTGAAAGCCAGAGATATTGCATAGGATAGTAAAAATTAAGTAAATAATCTCTTATGCTTGGAAATAAGTTTCATGTATTTGTTTAGTTTCATTTTTAATGCATGGAACTGAATCCATCTAATCAGGACATGGACTGTGCTTATTTCTTGATGTTGCTATGATTAGCTTTGTTACTCTATAGGCATTAAATTTGTGGCATGGTATGACTCTGTTTCTGTGGCAACACATTGATCCAAAATAATACCACCATTTAGAAAAATCATTTAGATTATATATCAGTAACTAATTTTGTCTGACAAAATGACAGGAGAAAATACAGCACTGTTACTATTTTAAAGCAGAGGTAAAATAGAGCATGTTTTATGAGACATAGAACTACCTTCTTTTTTTTGTCTTTCTGATGTATGCCCACTAAATACTGAAACACAAGTTTTAGAAATCAAAATAAGAATCCGTGTTTAAACTGTATAAATTCATACCTGACAACCAAAGAAATACGGTGTTTCCTAGATCTTCTTTAAATTCCTCATTAAAGAGCTGACTAGATTCTGGAAATGCTTCCCGGAATGTTACATAGATAGCTTGTGCCAAACAATCAGGATATATCTATAAAAATAGACTCATATTAGAATAATTTTAGAGTTTAGATGGTGTATGTCATAACTAAAGAAATTATTGTTTAGCTTCCAAAATACATATATTTATTTTTCTTACATCTTGTATTTGGCCATTTTATTACTTTTTGGAGGCAGACAAAGAACAATCTAAATGCTAGCATTTTGGGAAACATTTCAATCAGAATAAAGCTGAAATTAATAACTAATCTAATATCTGATGAATATACATTTATTTCATTTAACATTACTATTGATTTTCTCTTTTAAAAATTACAATATGTTAAAATGTATTTTTATATAGTTGGAGTTTGTCTAAGTGAAATCATATAATATGTTCATTTCTTTTGCTATTAAACCATCATCAGACACCAGCAGATATTTGGCATTTTCAATATTATTAGTGAATAAGTAGATATAATAATAGTTTAATATTGGTAACAAAATCATGTCATTTCAATCTCTTCATTCAAATAATTATTTATAGTCACACATTTATCCCTTAGTTTTGAAAAATTTTAGAACTTGATTAGAACCTGGACATTGTAGTATATTTTAATAATGCTTCCAAACATACATATTCTAATACCTGGAGCTGAAGCATTATAAATTATTTGGATATGGTTTGGGTGTCCAAGGTTCTACCTGTTGGAAGCGAGGATCCCAGGTGGGGCCTGGTGGAAAGTACTTAGGTCACTGAAGACATGCTCTCAGAGAGGAATGATGCCATCTCTTGTACAACTCCTTGTTAGTTCTCTAACTCTGCTAATTTATTTTAGTTACGAAAAACTGACCCTTAACTGGTACCATGGATTGAAGTCATTACGACAATGATAATTTAAAATGTTGAGCACTCAGCAGGACTGGTTTACTAGCAGATTGCAATTTGAAGGAGCAGGCCAGAACAAACCTGAAATTCTTCAAGCAAAGCCAAAAAACAATCCTGATGAGAGCTCAAAAGAAACCGAGGGTAGAAAAGAGCCAGGATATTTTTAAAACGGAATAAAGTGGTTGTGACAAAAACACTGATAGAAATATAGGAAGTAAAGGCTATGACCATGAGGTTCCAGATGAAAACGAGGGTTCTACTGGAAACTGGAGTAAAGGCCATCCTCGTTACACGATGATAAAAGGACCTGGACACATTGCCCATCCTCTATGACTTGCAGAAGGATAAAATTAAGAATGTTGGACCAAGTCCAGCATTATCCCAGAGAATACGTGAGCTATAAAGCAGGCTGAGTCCTAGAGAGTGGAAGATATGCAATGGTGTCATCATTTGCTTACTAAATAGGCCTCTTATTCTTCTCACCAGAGTCCTGTGTTAAAGCAGGCTTGATGGTATGTCTGCTTTAACGTCTTAATATAAAAATGACAGGAAGACTAGTTGAAACAATATGCATTGGAGAAACAGCACTTGTGTTGTTTAACTATAAAATTTCGAACCATTAGATTAATTCCTGGGAGCAAGGGGGAAAAACATCTCCATATTAACAGAGGAAAATCTTACTTTATCTTTCAGAATATCACTGCTCAACAAAACAGTTTAAACATGATGGCTGTAATTAAACTTTTCATTTTATGTACTACCTAGCTATGGTCTGGTGGCTAGCATTACGGAGGCTATTATTAGCAAATTTTGAACATGAAACTCTTGGTTTCCCACTGCACTGTACATATGTGTAGGGGATACATCAGGATTCAACATAAGTATCTGGCAAATTTGTGGGTTTTTTCTATTGTGAATGAGGCTTTCAATTGTATGTCTGTCTTACCCATGCAAAGAAAACACAAACTCCAAATCTCATGTACAGATTCTCAAAGGAGCAAACCATTTGGATGGATGTGGACTATTTTGAAATGCTAGGATTTAAAGTTAAAAATACTCAAAGAACTTTTCATATTCTTCATCTCACATCAATGAAGAACAGCATTGAATCAGTCCTATTCCCTGGCTGGTAAACTACAAAGATACAACACAAGCACTGATTCATAACCGTTTGCTTTCAATTTTGCTGTAACAGGTATTTGATCCTCACATGTAATGTAAATTTTCAGGTCCTCTTAAAAAGACTGACAGATATATTATGAACATGAAATTTGAGAAAACAATAATGTAGGTAAATAATAAAGTACATTTGCATAAATATAAAGTCAGTAGCTCTTATTTTAAATTTATTTTCAAACACAATATTGACACCACTAAGAAAATTTTGAAAACTCTGAGGCAAATCTTGTATTTCGAGTAAAACCATAATTTTAAAATCACCATCACATACTATATATTAGCCTACTTCTATTTCCAAAGTATTAGAGTATATGTTCAATGCACTTAAATAAAGTACCAAATTCGCCCATTTCATTCACTCCAAAAGTAATTAGCCTAACTGTTAGTCCCCATCATTACCTGAAAGAATGTGTCCTTCCGATTTAGGGGTATGCTCACAAAAAGTGTCGCATAGCTTTCTGAAATCCGATCAAATAAATAATCTTGATTTTCCCTGTCAGTCTTAAGACACAAAATGCATATGAAATTAATGTCAAAATTACAGCTCAAAATTGGAATTTGCATAGTAACAGTGATTCATCTCTTCTTAAGGGGAAAATCCATTAGAATACAGGAAGGCGCATAGGTTTTGGCATCAGGCAGACTTGACATTAATATTGGCTCCACTATTCACTAGTTATATTATACTCCCAGTCAATCAAGTCCTATTTTTCTCATCTATCAAATATAAATAATATCTACAGACGTTCAAGGCATGTAGTAAATTTAAACAAGGACAGAGATCATGTTTTCTGTAATTGCATTTTTAAAATCCTTAGATAAGTGTCTAGCATACAAAATCACACGAATATTTGAGAAATTCATGGAGGCTCCTTCACAACTAGTTATCAATGACTTAGTTATCTTTCCTTGTTCATTAAAGATACTTACTCTTTTATTATTAGTAACTCAGTGTGAAATTAAAGCAATTGCTAAGATAGATGAGGCAGCTAAAACTAGCAAGATTGTCACATAAGACTAACTGAAAATAAAGTGCAACTACATATAATAATAATATTTTAGCAAAGTCCCAATATAGGACTCTGAGTTATTGCGGTATTTTGTAATGATGAGATAGATGAATTAAGAGTCCAAATTCATGAATTAAACAAAGATAAGGAGTTCAAACTTTTTTCTGAGGTTATACAACCAGAAACTCTCATTGACAATTTTTAGCAACAAAAGCAAAAGATTGTGAAATCTAATGGCAGCATCTATAAAATTACTAAACCAAAGGAACTGAAATTCATATTATCTATAGGAATTTATAATTAAATGCTGCCGAATACCATCTACCTTGTCTCTGTACTTCAGTGGCTGTACTGATGCACAGGACAGTTGAGAAAAATTAAGGATTGTCTAGTTAACTAGGCAAGAGTAACTAGCAACCAAGCCCTTACCTCCCAATGCAAACCTCATACCTGCTTAGTAACTTTATGGAGGGAGGTAATAGCAAAAATAATGTTAATGTTAATGCCAGTCATGATCCCCAAGGTAACAAGCAGTGAGTTTGTGAGAATTAAATAAAATTCTGTATAACTCACTCAAACAAGTTAGTTTCAACTGTAAAATCTTCTTTTAACATGTATGAATATGAAAAAGTTCTCAAGACATAGAGTCCCAAGATATGCCTTTGATGAATGTGATTCAATCTAGTGTCGCATCATAAATGAATACGATGGAGATGAATTAGCAAAAAGTACAATCATAAATGTTCATGTGTGCTTTATTTTAAAAAATTGTACCTGGGCCCGGCGCGGTGGCACAAGTGGTTAAAGGTCCTCGCCTTGCACGCCCGGGATCCCATATGGGTGCCGGTTCTATCCCAGCAGCCCCGCTTCCCTTCCAGCTCCCTGCCTGTGGCCTGGGAAAGCAGCCAAGGACGGCCCAAAGCTTTGGGAACCTGCACCCGTGTGGGAGACCCGAAAGAGGCTCCTGGCTTCAGATTGGCATAGCATGGGCCGTTGCGCTCACTTGGGGAGTGAATCATCGGACGGAAGATCTTCCTCTCTGTCTCTCCTCTCTGTATATCTGCCTTTCCAATGAAAAAATAATAAAAATGAATCAAAAAAAAAATTGTACCTTGCAGGTTTGAAAATTTGAGTTACCAATTATATGTAACTATTTAATATACTTGCATGCTAAATTATCATTGAATTACAGAAAGAAGTCTCATTGGCCATGGTTTATAAAACTTATGAATTTGCTCTACTAATATTTTTTTGTGGACTTTTGCATCAACATAAAACATAGGAGATTTGTTTTTTTATAGTGTCTTTGATAATGGTATTAACTAATAGTTACTCCTACTTAAATTTTTCTGAAGAGTTCGGAAATTATTAGTGTTCATTTTCGTTATATTGGTAGAATTCTTTGTTCAGAGGTTGTTGATTATGAATTCAGTCCCCTTAATAGCTACCATATATTTTGGCTGCTGATTTATTTGTGATTTAGCCTTGTTAGATAGCACATTTCTGACATTTGTTCATTACCCCTGGATGATTAATTTAATCACCAAGTATTCTTGTAATCCTCTATTTCTGCAAAAAAGGGCAGTACTGCACTTCTAAATTCACTAATTCGAGTTTTCTGTTTTCCTCATTTTAATTAGAGCATTGTCTCTTTTGTTGATCAACTAAAAAAAATTAACTTTCAGTTTTACTGGCTCTTCCTTTTTTGTCCTTTACTTCCCTTATCTATACTGTAATTTTTTTTTACCTTTCTTCTGCTTGTTTAGTATTTAGTTTGTTATTTTTCTAATTGCTTATGGTAGAATGAGGTTGATTTGAGTTATATCAACGATTTATTTCGTTTTAAGATGATAAGTCATAATTACATGTGCTTATATGGTACAATGTGATGTTTTGGCATAAGGATACAATGTAGAACGATTGAATAAAGCCAACTAAAATATTAAGGTTATTTTTGACATGAGGGATTTGAAATATACTCTTTAGCACTTTTGAAATATACAAATCATGATTTGTATGTATATTAAACATGTGATGCAGCAGATGCATTCCTTCTTACTACAATGTATTTTTGAACAATGTCTCTCCACTCCTTGCTCCCAGCTCAGGTTCTACTTACCCACATTCTGCTCAGTATTGTATGAGCATTCTTTTGTTTTGCTTTAAATTCATATGCAATATGTTCATGTGGTGTTTGTATTTCTGTAACTGACTTATTTGCTTCTATAATCTCTTCCATGTTCACTCACACTCTAATAAATGACAGGACGTTTAAAAACATATTTTAAATAATAGCCCTTTGGCTATATAGGTAAATATGCCACATCTTTTTATTTCTACCCGTTTATCTAGAAGCGTGCAATTAAATTAAGTCCTGTACATTTTGACTGTTATGAATACTGTCGCAATAGACCTAAGCATTGCAGGTATCTCTGTATCGTTCCAATTTTTTTTTTTTTTTTTTTTTAGTATATGTGCTGCTGAAGCGAGCACGCAGGTATCTCTTAAATATACAGACTTCAACATCTTTGGAAGCATACTCATAAATCAAATTGCTGGATCATATAATGTTTTCAGGTTTAGATCTTTGAAGAGATTCTACTTCTATACTGATTGGAGTAACATTTCAACCGCGTACAGAAAAATCTCTTTTCTCATGTTTTCATCACCATTTGTTATCTTTTGTCCTTTTGATCATAGCCATTCTAACAAATATGACGTAATATCTCACTGTGGTTTTAGTTTGTATTTTCCTTCAAATACATTTGCATTTTTGGACAAACTTAGGGCCATTTTGATTTCTTTTGGGAAATATCTAGTCAATTTCTTTGCTCATTTTGGAAAAGATTACTTGAAATTAACCAATAACATCTGTATATGCAATATGATTCTTTGACTTTAGGTAGATGGGTTCAAACTAATTAACATACTAATTACTACAACAATTAGCAATACTTGTGGCTACATACCGTCTACCTAAAGATGTTTTCTAATTTTTCTCTTTTTGACTCATTGCTTCCTTAGAAACACTGAGAACTCTTGTACATTAACCGTGAGAATGCTCAATATAATCTGAAAACAATCTGACATTAGTTTAAGCTGAATATTTCCATATCCAACAGAGAAACATAATTTCTGTTTGAAATCTAAACTTGTTGAAAAAATATAGTAGCAATGAGGATATACAGAATTTATGCTCTTAAATAGATATGCTTCTTTTTTTGGTAAGCCTTTGGGGAGGGGTTTCAAGTCAATTACATAGATTGTTGAACTGCATTTAGATTTTGATTTTGCTATATCTACTCTCATAAAACATGAGCTTCAAATTTTTGTATTATTTTCTTTATAGAATTCTCTTTTTTAGTCTTCATCAATGTTTTATCGGTAGACTCTGCACCAAATGAAATTTCCTTCAGGGTCACTTATATACAGTGGATATTCTATTCAGTCTTTATGAACAGAAATTACAGTAATGGATGAGTTTAAACTTTTTAATTCAATGTAATGTTTAATTTCACCAGATTAATAAAGATCTAGGATCTTTGAAATCCATACTAATATATTAATTCCTGAAAGAACTCTAGACTTCAAGAGGGTTTCTAATGTGTGTGGGATGCTTAAAAACTATCATCTCTGAGAGAGGATTCAATCAACATTACTTCTATAGAAAACTTACCCAAGCTATAAATGAGCTTAAATACCACTCACCTTAAATTTATGTAGAAACCACCACCAAAAACAGTCATGTAAAAGAGCAATGGAGGCTTCTGATAGAAAATGAATCTTCCAGGTTTTAAACACTCTTTCCTATGAAGGAAAAAAGAAGTACATGGAGAGCAAAACTTCTTAAAATATCAAAACATTAACATAAATTGGATTTATAAAGGATATGTGTTCACTGATTACATACAAACACTATCAGAAATCTAACATAAGACATTTATTTAAGATTAAATTGTCTAATAGCCACACTGACAAAGTAAACTGGGAAATTAATTCAAATGACATTTAATCAAATGAAATATTTTTTACCTTTTGTTACTAGGTCTTTGAAATACGGTTTATATTTTAAGCCCATAAAACATCCCTATTTGAATATTACATTTTCATAAAAAATAAGAACATTACTATTGAGACATAAAATACATGGTTTTAGTTTTGTTCCAAATGTAAAAGCTTTTCCAATGACTGAAACAAAGTGTTCAGTTTTGTTTTAAGGGTAATAGTCTAAAGCTCCCCAGGACACTTGGAGGCTCAAAGGGAACAAGAGTGGTAGAGAAGTGGTCTCACAGTAATTTCAGGGTCAGTATCATCAGGCTAAAATATCCTGAGCTGATAGAACAGAACTGATGGTTAGGAACAAAGAATAAAAACACTGGTTACTGTTCCCTGCCAAACCTACACACATTAGCAACCTAGAATTCCTGTGGCTGTAGCATAGAATCTAATCATTTCTCTTCTCTCCAGAGAATTAGATAGAATTGGTTAGAATTAGTCTTTTCTAACCAAATTTAATTTCCAAAGGATCAAAAATTTATCCATAGCTTTCAATGAAAGCCTCATTCATGAAATAATAGTCTTTATTATGCAGTAAAGATAAAATATTTACATACATCATAGTTACGGGATTTTAAGACAAAAAGATAAATTCGTTCAGCATCTAAATGTCTGGGTAGCTGAGTCAGTTCATTTTTTTTGAATCCTGAGAAGTTGCAACCCTAGAAAAATAGAAATATCACAGTAAATATTTCATTTCCAGTATAGCAGTTTCATACAACTACAACAGGAAAATATTTAAGTATCACTAAATTAGCAAGATCACTTTCTACTAAATATTACATAGAAAGAAAAACCTTCATATTTTCTACTTCTTGGAAATTATAAGTCCTTGTGTACTCTTATGCCAAATAAATCCAAAAATCAAACAAGATGACATTTTAGAACATATTATATGTATATTCAGATGACCAGGAATTTTACCTAGACAACACATGTAAATATACATGGATCTGGCAGAAAGAGAGAACTTCTATACCTTTTCCTAACTCTCTCCCTTGAGGCCTATATTTTTTGTTTAGCTAAATCAATGGAAGAATAGAAACGTTAAATACCTCTATATTCTTCTTTGTCATCATTATATCTGAAAGCTGGAAAACATTTTAAAATTCAATATTAAACTATATTTATATGTCAATATCTTGATAAACAAATCAAATCAAACAATTTCTAGACAATGTTTTAAAGCTTTTGTTAGTAGTTTATCTAAAGTTCATTTAATTAGTAGCTAAAATTATCTGATAAAATTGAATAGAGTTTAAAAACTTATTTTGAAAAAGAATGAAACCAGATTTTAATGAGTAACTACCATATGTTACCATAGCCTGGAACACATTGGCATTTTAGTATTTGCATCAAGGCCACACTTTCAAAAAGTTCATATGTAATAAAATACAAAATGCATGCCCTCTTGTTCTAGTCCTGCATTTCCCTTCTTATAATTATCATTCTTGGTTGGTATACATTGCATTCTATTAACACTATGTACACACACACACACACACACACACACCCAAACATATGCTTCACATGTTTTGAAACTTAGAGGGGTCAACTGTAAATATTATTTGGTAACTTCTTTCACTTACTCAGTATTACGTTTTCACATTCTAATAAAGTAGTCTTTATGTAATTAGCTACTATAGTTTTTCTACCGAACTAATAATTTCTACCTGCAGAATACAAATAATAAATTAATTAATGAAAATCCACATGCAATTTAGTGAAACTTCCAAAGAGCAAATGCTGCTGTTATACCCTACAACGTAATAGAAAAACTTCACTTTCTGAGATCAGTATAATTTTGATACCCAAAGTAATAAAACATGGGATAAGACAAATAAATCTTATCAAACATAGATCCAAAATTCTGAATAATGCACAGTAATGCATTTAAAAAATAGAATCTGAGATTACAAGAGTGGCTCACTTTCTGAAAAACTGACAGTATAATCGGCTATGTTCCTGTTACCAGATGACCTACTGTTTCACCAAAGCAAACCAGCAATTTTCTTCAAGACCTGAGCACAGTGATATCTAGGTTTTATGCCTACTTTCATGAATGGACAAGTGGTGACACTTAAAGTATTCATTAAAACTATTATATTTCAGAATCTAATTTCAAAAAATTCCTAAATATATAATAGTAATTTAAAAGCATACTCTATGCACAAAGTCTCAAAAAATTTTAAGAAAACTAACAGCGTAATGAATGTGTACATCACAAAAAAGAATCCTCATTTGTTTTCTTCCTAAAGGTAGAGGACTGATATAGAACCAGCATTTTTACGTACACGTTGTAATAAATTATCAGGTAAGAATGGGATAAACATTAAAGTAGTTTTTCAAGAAATTTGTAGCTATGTGAAGACAGAAGTATATTGAGTATGAAAAAAACACATGAATAGATTGATAGATGAGACTAAAATAAAATTTACAAAAACATCCATCACCGATGCTTGTTTGTGAATTATTTGCTTATTCCATAATTCTTAAAGATGATGAAATCATAAATGCCATACCATGATCTTCCTTTTCTTATCATACTTCTTTATAAATGTCTTGTATCTTTCCAGTTTTTCAAAAGCAGCTTATGAAACATAAAAATACAGATATATAAGTCTTAAACTGAGGACTATTTTATAAAACATTTAAAGAAAATGAAACTTTCCAGTGAATTAAACTAGTGAGGTTAATGAATATAATGCCAGACACATATCAGTTGAATGGACACAATAATCACATATATTATATTTTGTTTTTCTGAAATATGTTCCAAGTAACATATTTGTAACACTGTTATGAATTGAGCATGATATATCTTCTGAAACTCATGGGAGATATTTAAATCCCAAAATGTCAATAGTTGATAGATTAAGTGAGACTTATCCTTGAAGTCAGATATTCTAGATTTCAATATGTAAATACTGAGGAAATATATGGACGCTGGGAGCAGCGGATGGGGTCTGGGCAGCCCCCAGGAGAACAGAGACGGCTTCTACAAGTCATTGGACCACATCTTTGAGACGCTGGAGAGCAAGAGCCCAGGCTGCGAGGAGGAGCTGTTGGATGTGGACAGCCCCTACTATGACCTGGACATGGTGCTCACAGGCATGATGGGCAGCCCCAGAGCCAGCCCCTGTGACGGGCTGGAGGGCCTGGCCACAGGCACCCCGCCCGCAGGCCCCAGCTGCAGGCTGGACCTGGGCGACCTGGAGCACGTGGTGAAGATCCTGGTGGGGACGTGAGGCAGCCCAGCCCTCCAGCACGGCTGCTCTCTGGTGGGTGGCCATTCCCGGGGAAGGCCACCCAGTCCTGGGCCCTGCTGCCAGCATGTCCCGGCCGTGGAAGCCAGCGGAGCTGCCAGCTGTGTCCACCTTGCTGGAATTGGGGTTGGTGACTTCAAAGCTACGTTGTATGTGGGGGCCAGTACAGTGTCTTACAGTGTATTTTTACATTTTCTAGACTTTTTAGCTCTTTCTTGGTTGTTTTCTATGAACGTCCTCTGCTGCTATGTGGGGGATGGCTGTCCTTGTCTGCCACGGCTCTGTGGCCATGGCCAGTAGCTGTCGCTTGAACTCCCCATGAGGCCGTGTCATGGCCCCACTGGATGCTGAGATGGGACTCGGGCACCACCGCTCCGGTTGCCCGGTGCTGCTGCAGAGGGGCCGCAGTCTGGGTCTCCAGACCAACACCCCGCCCTGTGCCTCAGCCACAAGGTTTGTTTCCTTCGTGGATATGGCCGCTGTTTAAGATCGGTGGCATTATTTTACTTACTAAATTCATGTAACAACAACAACAAAAAATTTAAATGAGGATGGTGTGAAGAGAAGTTCCTGTTTTGCTGTTTATCTCTAGGTGTCATTTCTGACATTTATTCATTTATGTGTGTATGTATACACATATATAAATGTATGAGGGTACTTTAAGAAGTTTGTGGTACACAACTTAGAGATACTGTATATTTTCCATGAAGTTTTTTCAGAACCAACATACACACACACACACACAAACACATACATATACAATCACAAAACTCTGTGTATGTATGTGTATAGTCTACATACATTCAAAAGTTCATGATTTTAAAACATTTGGAAATTCAGTTACAGGAAGCCACATTGTGGTTTAGTAGATTAAGCTGCTATTTGTAATGCCAGCATTCTATATTGAAGGGCCAGGTAAAGCCCTAGCTGTCGTGCCTCTGATCCAGCTCTCTGAATGACACCCTCTCCATCTGGGAGGGTGATGAAAGATGGCCAGATGAAGTTTCTGGCTTCTGGCTTCTTTATAGTCCAGTACCAGCTGTGGCGACAGGGAGTAAACCAGCAGCTGGAAGACACCTGTCTGCCTTTGCCCCTCTTCTTTGCTCTGCCTTTCAAGCAAACAAAGAAATAAATCTTTTTAAAAATGAAGAAAATGTTAAATAAATAGAAAATTTAATAGTAGTAACAAATATTCTCAGAATCAATATAAAACAGTACACTACGTAACTAAATATAACTAATTAAATTTGCTTAACCAATATTATCATTTCCAAAAGATTCTAAATTACATGTTTTCCCATTTGTTCAAGAATAAGATAAGAATCACCATTAGTATTCAATACTGTTCTGGAAGTATTACCATAATTGGATAAGAAAAAATTTTACACAAGTACAGAAAAGAAGTACAAATCATAATTATTTGCAGATATGCTTCTCATTAACTCGATAATTGCATATTGAATACTATCCATTCTTGTAACTTTTCTTGTGCTTTTTTTGCTCCTGTCCCAGCAATTCTGGACGTGTTTACACTTAACAAGACCAACTGATGCAATCATGCTTCCCTGATATTCTCCTAGCTCTCCTGAGGTTTAAGGAAGTTTACTGTTCAGCCATTGCCATAGTAACAACACTTTCTTTGAGACTACATGTTCATGACAAACTGAAAGCCCATATTAGATCACTTTGTGATGAAGATGTTTAAAACAAAATAGTTTCCTATCGGTTCACTGTATTTTCTACATTACTATTTTATCTTTCATGAAAATGGAACACACGCAAATACACACAAGAAGAAACATACACACAAAACACAGAACTGACCATTGCTTCACTCACAAAACAAAAGGCTTACTTGTCTTGGAAATCATGTCATTCCACTCAAATATTCTGCATGCATGGTGTTTCAGAAGAAGTGAACATTCATGTAATCTTGAATCCATTTTTATGAGTGCCTCATCTATTCGAGGAACAGTATTCCATAGGTATGAATAAATTGAGATAAATGAACTATCTTCTTTCACACTTTTCAGAAGGTGTATCCACTTATTATTTTGAAAACCAATTTCCTTTGGCCAATAATCCTGGAAAAAATGTCAAAGGGAAAAATATAGCTTAAATTGCTTTCAATGTATTTAGAAAATGCAATACAAAACCAAAATAGCAAAAGTTCAGATTTTATTCCATAATGTTATTTTATATTTAAAAATTGAAATAGTCACAATCTTTAGAATGTTGTAATGCTTACTGGGTTTGTTGTTTACTTGATCGTCCAACCATCCCTTGTAACTTCAAAATAAGAGAAATAATAATATTATCCTACTTAGTAAAAATTAAGCATAAGAATCAAGAAACTGGAATCTGCTACATGTTTGATCCCTAAAAGTTCAAAATTTAGAACCAAGATGGCAGAATAGGGTAAGGACTTAAGGAGACGGAGAAATATTAACCAGTGTGAAACAGAAAGGGCACATTTCAGGAAATAGAAGAGGACAGAACAACAGCAGAAGGGTACCTGGAGACTGACAGACATAGAAAAGCAGTGGACACAATGGTGTGGAGTTGCAATGACCGATACCCCAGTGGCATTCAGCAAGTGACAATCTGAATTACAGCGACAGCCGGAATTCCACCAGCAACAAGGTGGGAAGGGGCATTCATCAGGAGCTCAGGAGGTGAACCTAGACAAAGAATGGCCCATCCTGCTGCTCTGTTTGATTTGACAAGGAGCAGAAACAGAGCAGCAGGTCCCAGACGGGCAGTGCAGGGAAAGGGTAGATTTCATAGCCCAGTCTGCCCCATAGAGCTGAACTGGGCACTACTTTGTTTAAGGAGGCAAAGGCTATGGGACAGTACTGTGCATGCACTAAGCTGGAAGTGAACTCATTTCTGGCTCAGTGAACTGCAACAATGTGGCATCCTACAGGTTTCACCCAAGATAGGTCCAGGTAGCCCTCACCCTCAGACCTGGTGGCCAGCAGAATAGGAAATGTAGTAGTGGCACATCAGGTGCCATTTCTTACAGTGTAGCAAAGAATTTAAGACTGCAGGGACAACAGTGAGCTGTGCATGTGCTGAGCTCGGCTAGAACTCACCGAGCTCAGTGCATTGCACTGGTCCCATAGGAGAATAATACCAACTATGGCATCATATGGGCCAAAATAGGTCTGTGTGGCCCTCAGACCTGATGGCCAACAGGGTCTGGCAAGATCAGCATCACCAACTACTCAGCTATATAAGACACCTGGTGTCTCCTTAATCTTGGGACCTGCTCCAACTGGAAGTGGGAGGAAGTTTGTAGAGACAATGGTGCAACCTCAGCACAGTATCACAAGAGGTGTAGACTGGTGACCCAGGATGTGGGACTACGGAGACTATAGTAGAAATTTAACATAAGAACCCAGACCTGAAACTCACTGGAGGGAATAGCACAGCTGACTGCAAACAAAGAGCCGTGTACCAACTGTAATAAGTAAAATCAAACTGTAGACCTGTGGGTGACACAGCTTAGAAACCTGCCCCAAGGAACAGCATCTACTAACTAGAAGTACAATGACCAAGAGCAAAAGAAGAGACAGAGGCACAATGATTATTACTGAAGACTCCTCTGCAAAGGAGCAAAAACATTTGCCAACCTCAGAGTTAACTGAGGAATACATTGAGAAAACGGGGGATACAGAATTCAAAACACTTGTTATAAAGCTTCTGATTAGCAATGAGAAGCACATAATGCAGGTCTTAAGGAATTTAAGGAATATGTTACACTAGGAAATAGCAGCAATGAATAAAATGAAAGCTAATATATCAGAAATTAAGATACAGTGGAGCAAATTAAAACTACAGTGGAGAGTCTCCAAATAGAATGGAGGTAGAAGAAAGAATCTCAAAATTAGAAGATATTTCCTGTCATTAGTCCATGTTTGTAATTTATAGAATGCTATACATTAAACATAAATCAATTTCATTTTAGATTTGGATCCCATCTCTAATATATCATATTATGTGTATGCAAATATCCAAAACTTGAAGCATTTCTGGTCTCAAGTCTTTACAATAAAGAATACTCTATCAGTAATATGATATGAATACAATATCCTGAAATTCTACTAGTAAAATTCTCTTTGCTACATTAGCAGGCTAATAAAAATTGACTGGTATTCCAAAACTATTAACACTTAAAAAGTGATATTTAAATAAACCTTGATTCTTTGACTGGATTCTTTAAGGATGCATTATTAAATGGATAGCACATAATGATTTTAGGACAGGCTCTAAATCTAATTTCCTACTCTCATCTCTCTTGTTTCTATTTCCTTAATGTTTTGTCTTCAACTAGATACTTTATGAATAGAATGTGATTTGAAAAGTAAATTTTATAACCAGACATAGGGGATCTAAACAAGAGTTAACTTGCAGCTAGTGGGCAAATGAACTGCGAGCTACAAGTAATGGCATTGCTGTCTAAAGGGAAATAAACATTACAAGAAATGATGTATCCAGAGGAACCAATTCTTTAACATCTGAAGAAGTAAAAACAAAAAACAAAACAATACAGAAAAACAGAATACAAATGTGCGACATTATTAGAAAAAAAGAATTTAAATTTGAGGGTAATATAGAGTCCACAAGGATAGAAATCATTGCTTGTTTTGATCATTGCTCTGCCCACAGCGTTAGAGAAAGAGCCAGTAAACAATGGGCACTGGAAAAAACCCATAAAATAAATAAATTAAAAGGATTAGTAAGAGACATGGCAATGATGAAACAGTAGAACAAGAGCATATTCCACAAATAAAATATAAAAATACTTTCATAAACTAAAATAGATAAACATGGTAATAAACTGAAAGGTGAGCAATAAGAAAGAATTTAAGAACAAAGAAACAGAAATCAAAGTGCAGAAATTGCTGAAATAAAAAGGTACATGTAATTATAATGAGATATAGAGGGAAAGTTGGGAGTATATAAGTATTTCAATTATGAGAGATTTAAATGAATAGAAAGTGGGAAAAAAATGGAAGGCTTTTAGATAATGTTATAGAAGATAGTTAAAAGAAAAAACTCAGCAGGGGCCAGCGTGTGGCTTCAGTGGTTAGGCCACTGCCTGCCATTCCAGCGTTGACTATAAGAATGGGTTTGAGGTCTGGCAACCTGGAGGATGATTCAGCTTCTTGCTGGAAAAGCAGTGGAAGGTGGCCCAAACGTTTGAGCCTCTACATCCATGTGGAAGACTCAGATTAAGCTCCAGTCTACTGGCTTTTCCCTGGACCACACCTGGCTGTTGCAGTCATCTGGAGAATAAATCAGTGGAAGGAAGATCTCTCTCAATTTCTACCTCTCTCTCTAACTCTACCTTTCAAAGAAAAAAAATTTTTATTAAAAACAAATTAATAGTGAACAAGTAGATTGCAAGTGGTAATGCTTCAGCAGGGTCAGGTTATGAACACAGGCCAGCAGAAACCAGAGCCTCTGTTCTTTAAAATTTTTTTTTCTAACTGTAATTTATTTTATTAATTACATTGCATCATGTGACACAGTTTCATAGGCTCTGGGATTCCCCCCTCCCTGAACCCTCCCCTCCCCATGGTGGATTCTTCCACCTTGTTGCATTACTACAGTTCAAATTCAGTTGAGATTCTTTCATTGCAAGCATCTACCAAGCATAAAGTCCAGCATCTTATTGTCCAGATAATGTCAATGGTTTCTTGGGGAGACCATCTCTGGTCTGAAGGTAGTCGGCAGAGTATCATCCCGATCAATTAAAAGCCCTGACATAACATCAGCAACAATTTATAACGTAATGGAATTAATTGACATGGTATTGAGTAACCAATATGTTAAAAAAATTGCAAGTTCTTAACCACATCCTGTGACTTCTTCATTGACATTTCAATTTTAGTTTATATATAACTGGGTTCTATACATCTTAAAATGACTATAGATTACTATTCAGCCATCCATGTCTATTTTGATTTTAGTATTTAGGAGTTTATAGCACTGAAGCATAATTTGCTAAACCTGGCTGTTTTTTGGGTATTCTAAACTGGTTTATAACTCTAACAAGACATGTGTCAACAGTTTAGGTGCAGAACAGTTTTAGGAGGGGTGTGCAGAGAAATCTTCAATACCCTAGTAAAGAGTAACTAATCTTTGTGTCCCACCTAGTGAGGTATAAGTGAATCCACTGACCATTTCCTGTCTGATTCTAAGCTTTCCTTTTTCTATATTCTAGATTTTTTTATTGTTGAACATGTCTGATCTCGTCAGAGCTTCTGTTCTTAAATACCATACCTCTCTAAAGACACACAGCTCCACCTTTGTAGATTACAAGAAGCCACTGAACTTATCTGGACAATAAGATGCTGGACTTTATGCTAGGTATATGCTTGTAATGAAGGAATCTCAACTGAACTTGAACTGTGGTTATGCAGCAAGGTGGAGGAATCCACTATGGGGGGAGGGTTGTGGGAGGGGTGAGGGGAATCCCAGTGCCTATAAAACTGTATCACATAATACAATGTTAATAACAATTAAAACAAATAAATAAAACTTTAAAAAAAAGAAAAAAAATAAAGAAGAAAATAATCTTCCCCAAAAACCTTAAGCAGTTTAGGACATATTTTCCACTTCTCTTGTGTTCTATTAAATCATTTTCTTACAATATGCCTCATTCTAAAATAATAAGAGATAAATGAGGGCAGACATCTTTGCCAGTTTTTTTTTAATTTATTTACTTTTTTATTGAAATGCCAGATCCACAGAGGGAAGGAGAGACAGACAGAAAGATCCTCCATCTACTGGTTCACTTCCCAAGTGGCCAAAATGGCTGGAGCTGAGCCAATCCAAAGCCAGGAGCCAGGAGATTCTTTCCAGGTCTCCCATGCAGGTGCAGGGTACCGAGGCTTTGGGCCATCCTCAACTGCTTCCCCAGGAAAATAGAGCAGCCAGGACACAAATTGGAGCCCATATGAGATCCCAGTGCAAGCAAAATGAGGATTTTAGCCACTAGGTTACCATGCTGGGCCCACTATTTTTTATTCACTGCCATTCTGTAAGTGTTCATGTGCCTTGCACATAGAAGGTACTTAAAAATATTTTTAATCAATTACTGGAATTTATTATTTTCTTACCATTGCTATATGAAAAGCACCTTGACCCAAAAACAAAATAATACACATCTAGTCATTTTAAATCCTGGATATCTTTAAATATCCAACAGTTTGGCAATAGACAGATATAGTCAGGCCTTGACAAGATAACTACAGAATCTGAATTTTTTTTGCTGAGAAATACAGACAATAAAAACAGATTAAAATAAAGCCACAAATTATAAATTGTATGTTATCAATTATAAGTGGTAATAATTGTTAGAGCTTTTTTGGAAAAAAAAAGATTGCTTTATTTATTTGAAAAAGTTGCAAAGAGAGTGAGAGTCAGGGAGGTCTCCAGTCTTTTGCTCACTTCCCCAGTGGCCACAGCAGTTAGGGTGGAAACAGGCTGAAGCCAGTAGTCTTTTCTAGTTTCCCAAACACTGGGACACAAACCAGTGCCCATGATGCACTGCAGGCTGTGGTTTTATCCAGTATGCCACCATACTTATCCCTAGACAGAGCCTTTGCAAAAAATATATAAACATGCTCTTTGTATATAAGGATGCACTGATATATAATAAGATAGGCTTTGATTTTTAAATTTTATTTATTTATTTTATTATTCCATGATACAATTCTATAGGCTCTGAGATTTCCCTTCCTCCCTCCCCAATACCACCACACTAATTTCTCCCATGCCATTACAGCAGTATTGTCTTTCAAAATCAGTCATAAGTCCATCATTTTGCTATTTAAGTATATCATTTTGATTTTAATCTATTTTTAGTGTAGGTCTACTGAAGAGATAAAAATTTATAAATGAATCTTTCATTGTAATATATTTTTTTAATTTTCCATTTTTAAATGACTTTTCCTAAGTCTTCATATTTCTAGAACTCATATTTTAAAAGCTGAATTGATACATAAAGTAGGATGCTCTACTCACCAGGTTTTGAAACTGTAAAAATTCTTCGAAACTTTTTGGAGGTTCCTGTGTTTTCTAAGGAAATAAAATCAATATTTCTCATTGGCACCAATTTATGACACACTACTAGTTTATAATTTTCAGAGTAGAAATACATTATTAAATATTCCAATAAAATCCCTATAGTTCAAAAAAGGACAAAGATAAATGTTTATATTCTCATCTTCCAAACTGAATTTCATAACACTCTTCCCTTCTATATACTGCCCCTAGAGAAAAACCCTATATGAATATTTCTAGAAGTCCTCATTAAAATCTTTTTGGGGTACCTGGTGCGATGGTGTAGTGGTTAACGTCCTCGCTTTGAACACGCCAGGATCCCATATGGGTGCCTGTTTTAATTCCGGTGGCCCCTCTACCCATCCAGTTCCCTGCCCATGGCCTGAGAAAGCAATCAAGGATGGCCCAAGGCCTTGGGACCCTGTACCTGTGTGGGAGTCTGGGGAAGACAGCTCTGGCCATTGTTTTTATTCTACTTTTCTTTCTTTTATCTGCATAGGATATTTCAAAAGACCTGACTTCAGGTTCCGATATTGCTTCTTCTGATTCATCTAGTCTGTGGTTAAAAGGTTTTGATTGTATATTTTATGTGACCTACTGAGTTCTATAACTCTACAACTTGTATTTTATTCTTTTACTGATTTTCTCATTCATAGGTTGTAATGATTTTCTAATTCATTTAATTATTTATATTCTCTTTTATCTGTTTCAATATAGTTTGGAATCAGTATCAGGTATTTTATTAATTTTCCTTCGTTTACATTTTGTACCAAACCATTACTGTGTTCCTTGTGGGGTCTTATAATATCATTTTTTCATACTTCTTGGGTCCCTGTACTAATATTGCATATCCAGAAGAGGAGATGACTCTTAAGCGTAGCTTTCTTGGACTAATGCTTTTTTCTCAGATTTTTCCTTTGGTTCTTTCTTTGGTAGGCTACTTCAGCACTGATTCATGTTGGATACCACACTACAGTGCTTTCGCTATAGTAGATGCTATCAGTGTCATGGGTTTATCAGTGTCAATGAACTTGCTTAGTTCCTTGCCCATGGTACTGCAGTCACTGTCCACATGAAGAGCGGAAGTCCTGACAGTATAGTGTTAGATGCCAAGGGTAGACATAAACCCAGTGAAAGCTATTTAAAAGTTGAATTTTCTTCTCTTATAATGATTGTCAAACTACTTCTAGTACAAATAAATGAAAAATAACCAAATTCAATTATATGGAATTAGAAAAATCAAATTAAGGAAGTGACATTTGGATAGCAAAATTCCAGCCAATTTAAATATAAAAGTCTAAGATCCTTTCTGGTAAAGCCAAAAGGAGGTGAGGCATAAAGTAAACAGGCTTTTTTTGGTAGGTAAAGAAAGATGCAAAACAGCCATACTTTTATGAAAACAATGAGAGAAAAATGGTGAAACAAAAACCATACTTTTCTACAGGGTTCGTGAAAAGCAACAGATATTGATTGAAAGCACTGTTAAGAATTTTAAGATGGTGAGTCTGCCTCTGCATATGATTCTGTCCCAAACATAGAGGATGCAAGCCCATGAAATTGGTGCTACCTGGAAGTCATTATCTGAAATCAAAAACAAGCAAGCCTGCATAAACAACATAATGTTGTGGCAGTTTCCATACCTGTGAGCCAGCAGTGGGCATCCACTGTTGTTTCTGTTGGCCTACCATGGTGTAGCAATTTGCAGAGATGGTGACAAATAAGTTAGGCCTTTGGCATAAGTGCGATTTGGGAGAACAAACCAGAATCTGAAAGATTTGCAAATACAAACACAAATGAATCACCTAATTCATTCTTCCCTACCAACCTCACTATGATTTTTGCTTTGTTTTGCTTTGCTTTTTGTTTTTGAGAGTGGCAGTGGAGGACAATGAGAGACTTGTATAGGACCACACATTGTCATAGTTAACTGGATTCTGAAACTGACTAAGCTGACCTCAAAACATAAGACTTTAATATGTAAGACTTTAGTACAACCTACGCCAAGCTCCAGAGGTTCTTTTGAAGGAAAGAGGTTGGAGATGGTCTTAATCACACATGAAATTAATTTAATTAAAGCTATTGTCAATTTTGAAGTTCAGCTCAACTCCGAGGGGATTCTCAAATGTCAGGCTCTCTAAATGACAGAGAAAGGAAAGGTCTCATCTTCTCTGAAAATAAACAAAATTTAATTTTAGCTTCCATAGGTATCTCTATACAACATGTAAATTCAATAAATGAGACATACAAGCAAATAGGAAAATGGGATTATAATTCATGGAAAGCACTATGAACACCATTTAATTTAGAAACCAGTTATAACTAGCAGACAGGGACTTTGAAATAACTTTCCTAAATATGTTAAAGATATTTTTTAATTGCTTCTTGGCCTTTTGGTTAAGATCAAGTATAATATGTTAAAGATTTTTACCATAGAGGTTGGATAATAGTGCATAAAGATATCGATGTTTCAAGAAATATGGAAATTCTTAAAAAGACGCAGTGGATCTTCTTGGTTTATGAATACACTATTCATAAGAAAACCTGGGGGTGGGCTGGTGCTGTGGCATACCAGGTTAATCCTCCACCTGCAACACTGGCATCCTGTATGGGTGCTGTTTTGAGTCAGGGCTGCCCTATTTCTGATCCACCTCCCTGCTTATGGCCTGGGAAAGCAGCACAGCACTAGGTTTCCTTTAATCTTATATGTGAAAACAGCAATGTTCTACATTTTTCTTGTGTTTTACATGTGTATGATCAGAAGGCAAATCCAGTACCAGTTATTGAGTCATGACCTACAATTTATCTCCCCCAGCCTCTTTAAACAGACTTTATTTTTAGAGTAGTTTTATGTTCACAGCAAAGCTAGGGGAAAGTATAGAGTTCTCATTTACCACTTTCCCCACATAGGCACAGTCTCCCTTACTATAGACTCTCTGCTCCACATACATTTATCATAACTGATGAGCTTACTCAGGCCTATCAGTGACATCCCAATTAGGGCATTTTACTCTTTACTCATAATGTATAGATTTCCACAAATATAAAGTGATGTTTCCACCACTACGGTAGCATACAGGATAGTTTTATTGCTCTAAAATGCCTCTTTACTCCATCAGTGTATCCCTCCTTTTCCCTAACACCTGAAAACTACTGACCTTTTGATGGTCTTCATCGTTTGCCTTTTCCAAAATGTCACACAACTGGAATCACACAGTATGTCAACCATATGACTGCCTGTTGATCATAATTGGCAGTTCTTATTGGGAATTGACACAGTTATCAACTCACTTGGATAAAAACCAAGTAGTGCAATTGCTAAATGCTATGAAGATGTTTAGTTGTGTAACACTGCCAAACTTTTCTAACTTGGCTGTATCCCATTTTACTCCCTCCAGAATTGAATGAGAATTCCTGCTGTGCCACATCTTGACCAGTACTTGGTGTTCACAGAGTTTTGGAGCTTGACCATTCTCATAGGTGCACTGGAATATCTCACTGACATTAATTTGCAATTACCATAATTACATATGATGCTGAATATATGGCCATATGCTTAATTGCCACCTCTGTTTAAGTGAAGATTCTATTCCAGAATTTTTGTTCATTTAAAAAATTTGGGATAATCCTCTTCATTTTAAGTTTTAGGAGTTCTCTATATATTTGGACAATAGTCCTTTACCAGAAGGGACAAAATAGAAGCTTTAAGATTGAACCAGTGCACAGAGGATCTCCACCTCTCTGTATATCTGACTTTCTTAACATAAATAAAATGTCTTAAGATTTTTTTTGTTTTTGTTTGGGGGCTATTATTTCTATTTTTAAGTGTCATCATCGCTTTTTATTACCAGAGTAACTCACATTCATTTGAGGAATGCAAAAAAGAATCATAAAACTCATGGCTTCATGTATCTAGGCAATCACTATTCATTTTGATATAATTCACTCTCATGTTATTTTTAAGTTTTAACTAATAATTCACATATTATTACACACACTTACTCAGCACTGAGGAATACTACAGGTACCTTACTGAAGCCTCACAGGGTCAACACAGGTCTTGCTGGGGATTGTACACCAGCAGTGTGGGCACGGAACAGTGGATTACAGGTAGGCTCTTTCTTAGGTCCTTCAGAGTGAAACCTGAAATAGTTACAGCTCCAGAGATGTGGAGCCGAGATGGTACCTAGCTCAGGTCCTGCAGGAAAAGTGAATATTGCCCAATATTGTACGTCGGCAACCGTGGGCCTAGTAATGTAATGGAGGAAGAAGCTCCTCCAGTTTCCACAGAGCAACTGCAAATGTTCCTAGGACATGCAGAGCCAAAAGTCACACTTCCATAGCAGTTACATGTAGTGGGCTCCTTATCCAGGTCTTACAGATAGAGTGCCAATTACACTGTGGCTTATGGAGCAGCAGCTGCCAGGCAGAAGCAGAGGAGTGCAGCTAACTACTCCAGGGATTGTAGCAGTAACAGCCACAATTCAGAGCTGTACGACAGAAAAAGGACTGCCTCTAATCCCAACTGGACATACAAGCATGATTATGGGACTTCAGTCCTGGGCACCCAGTACCCTGTGCTAAGAGATGAAGAAGGGCCAGTCCCCCAGGCTTGTGACTCAGCTGCAGCTTTCAATGAGACTTAAAAAGCAGAGGGAACTTCGCTAGATCTTACAGAGCATATGAACAGTTTCAGGGTTTGTACCCAAAAATCTCACAGCTGCAAGATCCAATGGGGTCTGCTAGCTGTCCTGTGAAGCACACTAGCTACAGCTCTGGGAATTTTGGTAGTAATGGGTCTGGTTACGGTTCCCTTAGGCAGGAAGAGTTTAGCTACTAGTAGCTGTATTTGCAGCAGCTTTGGGCCTTGGGAATTGGAGGCAGGCAATGTGGTTTCCTTTTTTTTCCGAACAATGCAGTTGCTTCAACCAGTCAACTTTCTAGACTGGCTTTAGAGCTGGGGAGGGGTGTGAAATTCTCTTGCAGTTAGTGCTGCTGGTGTCTGCAATATTGGCAGGAACCACAGAGCTTACCTTTTCCTTGCAAGATGACATTTCCCCCAATCTTCACCCCTATCCCCCAGAGCAGAATACTGCAGTCTCTGCTTGATTTTGGAGTGTGTGCTGTTGGCAGTTCATGTCATCTCTTTACTGAAGTTTGCTTACAGTCATTCAGGAAACGTGGCTCTTTACTGTCCTGGCTCTTAGTGGCGAAGGCAAAGGTGGGAAGAATTCGCTATTCAGCTCTTTGGGTCAGTTTCTTATCCTCTTCTAAAATGTGCATGCAGTTACTGAACTTAGAAAAGTAGAGGAACACTCTTCTTATTTTTCTCTTGGTTTTCTTCCTATTTAACACACGCAGTAATCAAGAAACACTGTCCTATCTTTAGAAAGACTTGACTGTGTAGGATATCAGCCCTCTGTTCTAACACATTTTACTCAGGTGAAGTAAAATAGAAACTTTTGAGATTTTCTCAAAAAGTTTGAGTTTACTCCCACAATTGTGCCATAGCTACTACTCTGCTAAGAAGGAAGACATAAAGTACCCATAATTTTACCATCCTGGGAATGCTAGAAATTCTTCTTTCTTGTGTTCCTTTGGCCATTTCAATCTGTCCTCATAACCTTTGATGTTGCTATTGTATTAGTTGCAAGACAGAAGTGACACATTCTTTGTAAGGCAGATCATATCTAGTCACAAGCCTTTGTAATGAGGATACGGGCTATTGGAAGGACTGAAATCAAGTCTTCCACATATCTTGTATTTAAAGATAACCCCATGTGGGCCTTAATGTTTTGGCATAACTAAAATTCCTGTGCCTCTTCTTGATTTTATGTAAGTTGAACTTTGTGGACTGTGTCCCTCTTCCCTCTGTTATTTAGAGCTTTTCCTTTCTCCTAACAGCACAGCAACAGCCTTTATGGAGGAGGTTCACGGCAGGAGCACACGCAGGAGGAATCACGTAGCAATGCAAGCGGCACATTTTAACAAAATCCAGCATAATATTTTTTTTTTCTGCCATGGATGTTTTGGTATCATATATAAGAAGTCATTACCAAAACCAAAGTCATTTAGGTTTTCTCCTATGTTGTCTTCTAGAATTTTACATCTTACATTTAAAATTTATGTCTTTCCTCTATTTTGAATTATTTTTTTTGTGAAGGGTTGTGTCTAGAATCATTTTGTAGGGCTTTTTAAAATGCTTATTTTTTACTTGAATGGCAGAGTTACAGAGAAAGAGAGGAAGAGCCATAGATCTCCCACTTGCGGGTGGGTCACTCCACAATAATCAAGGCTGGCCCAGGCCAGAGCCAAGAGCCTGGGACTCCGTTTGGGTCTCCACACTTGGGCCATCTTCCACTGATTCCCAGGCACATTAGTAGAGAGCCAGATCAGGAAAGGAACGGCAAGGACAAGTGCCCATATTGCAGCAGCTTAACTCACTGAGCCACAACATAGGTCCAGAATCATTTACTTTTTACATGTTGGTCTAACATCATTTGTTAAAAACACTGTTTTTTCTATTAGTTGAACTGTGCTCCTTCATGAAAGGCCATTTAACTCTATTTGTGTGAGTCTATTTCAGGGCTCTAGCCTCTGTCCCATTGACCTATTTAGTTTTCTTTCACTGAAAACACATTGGTGTGATCACTATTGGTCTATAGTAAGGCTTAAACCCTGGAAATATCATTTCTCAGAATTTACTTTTAAATGCTGAATTTGTATCCACTAACCAGAAGTTGATATTAATTGTAATAGTTTCTACAGATTCTTTAGGATTTCCTACTACAGAGTGTAGTTAACAACCTAGGATGTGACAAATAGTTAGCGCTTACCAAAATGTGTATATTCCTCTACCTTTTCCAGGCTGCCTTACAGTTAAAGAGGAGGTATGAAGACTAAATTCTGAACTAAAATATGACACCATTTATATAAACTAATTTTAGCACTTTTTGTATAATATACCATATTTTCTACTTTGCCAGCTTAAGTTATAGATCCTAACTTCTAGGAGGCAAAAGAAACGGAAGAAACCTGAATCCATGTGTCTTAAGATTTCATCGGAGTAGCAACACTCACAATGGATCTTCTGTGAGAATTCAGGGATAGCAGTAAATGGACTGTCGGTTTTTTTAAATTTTAAGTGGCTGTAAAATCCTTGACAGTCTTTTAGGAAGCGGGACTTAGGTCTCCTTTTCCAAAATCTGGATAGGACTTGTAAGCAAAAAAGAAGTGAAGAAAACGACACCATTGTGTGGTCTGGATGTGTGTGTCCTCCGAGGCATTGTGTGTTGGTCCTCCATATGAGGAACTTAGCAAGAGCTTAGCTCACGGGATCCCTGCCCTGCCATGCTTGTCTTACAGAGCAGCTTGGTTCCCTGGAGAGATGATTTTGGAATAATCGGTTACCAAGAAATAGCAACTGCACACTCTCATGATTAGATGTATAATTTGCTTTTCAGTCTGTGTATCTGAAGCACTTTGACTAAACTTAAAAGACTTTAGGGCAAAAGAGAGGAAAATGGTTGTGCACTACTTATTCCTGCTAAAAGACTTAGTTTTCACAGCCTTTTAGATCCAGAAGACCAAACTCTATTGCATGTATTTACAGACACAGAATCACATTGCTTTTCTAGCAGCCTGCATTACTGTCCAGGACACAAAACACTTATTTTGACAGAGAAAAGTAACAGATCTAAGTTCTCACAACTAAAATACGTTGGGGACAGGCAACATGGAAGGTGTTCTATGGGATCCACACCGCTTCACCATTCACGGTACCTACGTCCTGAGCGTGTACTCCCAGCACTTCGTCCCCGCCCTAGGGTTCCAGTCAGCCTCGCTGGGAGCGCGGGAGCCTGAGGCCGGGCCTCCGCCCCGAGCCACGGGAGCCACGGGAGGCGGGACTTCCCGCCGGCCGCCCGTTCCCTCCGCAACGGCCTAGCTCCTCCCTCCGCAACAGCCTAGCTCCGCCCTCCGCAACGGCCTAGCTCCGCCCTCCGCAACGGCCTAGCTCCTCCCTCCGGTGCTTCCCGGAAAGCGCTCCGCGGGGTCCGTGCGCGGGCCCGGGCGGCGCGCGCCCCGAAGACTCGTGGAGCTGAGTGAAAAACCCGCGCGCTGTGCAGCCGTGAGTCCCACTCGGTCCTCCGTGCGGGTCCACGCGCCTCGCCGGTGGCCTGGTCCGGGCTCCAGCGGAGGTCGTGCTCGGTGTCGCCCCTGAGGGAGAATGGTCCCTTGCCTCTGTGGGTTTTAGGATCTTGGCGGGCCCCTTTGGGGGAGGGGGAGGAAAGCTTTTCAGGTTTTCCTCAGAAAAATTTTTTTTCTTGCCTAACGATTTTCCTATTTTTCTGCGCCAAGGAAAGTGTTCTGGGAAAGTCAGTCTGTTAAAAATCCCTATTTATTATTTTTTTTTTCGTCTTTGAAGTGGTTTGTGAAGGTTTAGTAATCACGGACACTCGTGGGTATAGATGGAAATGCAAGCCATGTGATGTATTTAAAATATTAATAATTTGGTTACATAATCAACGGAGGCCGTTTCTTGTGGTCTCAGGTGTTTCTTTTGAAGGTAGATAAATAAGAAAGTAAATTAGCATCTTTGGCAGGTGCAGGTTCTACAAAAGTTGAGTGGTACAATCAGTAGCTAAATGAAGTGTGGGGTACCAGGAAAAGCTCAAGCAGTCAGTCAGCCTACCAGATGGTGGGTGCTGTGGGAGGGACCCCCATTTGTTCTTTTATATAAATAGGAGAGAGTACATGCATATATGTCTCATAGATATATTTATACAGTGTCGTGACAACTAGGTTCTCAACAGTTCTCCAGAAAGCAAATTTGAAATGGATTTTTACCCAGTACTGAATTGAAAAACAAACAGCAATTTCCACTGTTTGTAAAACAAAACAGAAAAACATTTTGCCAGGCCGCCACTTTGGCCGGATGTGTACCTGGGGTTGTTTCCCAGAATGGCCTTGATTCAGTTAGTATGTGTGAAAATCTTATTGCATAATATTATGGGACTGCTGACATCACAAAGAATCCTGCTTTTGCACCATTGCATGCTAAGAGGGACAGCTTTACTCAAGGGACCCCCAAGTGAAGTATATTTTTCCATGTCACATGTGTGAAACCAATAGTAAGTACTCAAAGAGGTGTAAGAGATTGCCCAGGTCCATGCATGTGTTGATAAAGAACCAAACTACAGTCCTGATGTTGAGGGTACCATGCAGAGTAGAAGTGATACAACTTGGTGCGTTTTATTAGTTTTACCCATGCAGAGTAGAAGTGATACAACCTGATGAGTTTTATTAGTTTTAGGGGGAAATTGGGTAGAAAGGAAAGTAAAAATTAATTTGTTTTCAGCTTCAGTTGCAGAATGATGAATTTCATGGTCATAAAACTATGTTTTAGTTCTGTAAGAATGGTCTTTTTTTTAATGTTTTCTATGTTTTTTTTTTTTTATCTCCCATGGCATTTTTATTCCCTCTGATGTATTTAATGTTGACAAGTCTTGAAGATTTTGAATAATCACATTGCAACAAATGATTTGTAACATTCAAGACAGGCTATTGGCTAAGAGGACAGATGCTATGATCATATCTGTTGATCTGGAACGAGCTACACATACTTAGAACTGCTGGCCACTTCTGTGTGGCGACTTCAGCCATAGGTGAGAGTACATAGATGCTGCAAGGGAAGGGACAGACTTCTCATGTCTCATAAGTATTTCTGTTGCTTCATTTTTGTAGAGGGAAATGGCTTATGTAAGACTTTTGCTAATGTCCATTTAGTCACATGAGCATAAGATTAGTAAAGTGCAGGGTGATATTTCTGAGGCATCTCAGGAAGAATGTATTTTAAAAAAGGGAGGGTTTTTTTTTTTTTTATTGGAAAGGGATTACAGAGAAGGAGAGGCAAAGAGAAAGGTCTTCTGTTTGCTGATTCACTTCCCAAATGACTGTTATGGCCGGAGCTGAGCCAGTCCAAAGCCCACTGCTTTCCAGGCCATAAGCAGGGAGTTGGATGGGAAGTGGAGAAGCTGGGACACGAACTGGCACCCATATGGGTTCGTTGAGCTTGCAAAGGGAGGATTTAGCCAGTTGGGTCCATTGTGTGGAGCCCAGTAAGAATGTGTTTTAAGGGTTCTGGAAAACTCCATAAACTCACCAGTAGTTTGACATCCACAGAAACTGGCCTAAAGCCCCAGTAAGTGTGGGCTCTTTGGTGGTAAGGAAACACGCTAAATTGTGACTGAAATTGCCAGGAAATGAAGTCACATTGAATTAATCCGGTCCAGTTTAATTTTTAGAATGTGTTTTGTGATCTGAATTGCTTAGTTCTCTCTGTAAAAAACAAACAAACAAACAAAGAAAAAAAAACAAATGGACCGAAAACAGGGCTTCCTTAGGTGAAATTTAATTAGTGTCCTAAGAACAACAATGAGACCTTTTAGGCTTGTGACCATTGACAGTTTGCTGAGCAACAAAGGATAGCCCTGCTTTCTGGGGCTGTCTTTCCCAAACTTCTTGAGTTGCTTAGGTACTTAATCTGAGTTTTCTGTCTCAATCAGGATATCTCTGATTCTGTTGATGAATTCTCAGAGATCTGCAAAACACTTGAAGTTATATGAAAAATACTCAATTCCGGTGTGTATTTTGTAGGAAAAAGGACTAAGATTTTTAAGATTCCTGAAAGAAAAGTTGGCAGTAACCTATTCTGTACTGTTCTAAGAATTGAAGACATGTCCATAGAGAAGCCATTTTTAGTTGGGTGGTTTAGAAATTGTGCTGAGAAGTCGGAAATATTTTCCACTTTGTGAGGCTGAAAGAAGAGATTGGACTGTTGTTCTCAAAGGCCCCTTTTTCTGAGCAATCCAACATGTAAGTCTCTGCTCAAATCAGTAAACAGCAAAAATAACAGTGAATGCAGTTTGGTTTTCCCCTTGGGTAAATTTGGCAAGTACCTTTTTTTTTTCTTTCTTTTTTTTTTTTTTTAGATTTTATTTCTTTTTACTGAAAAGTCAGATATACAAAGAGGAGGAGAGACAGAGAGGAAGATCTTCCATCCACTGAATCACTCCCCAGTTGACTGCAAAGGCCAGGAGTTTCTTCCGGGTCTCCCACACGGTTGCAGGGTCCCAAGGCTTTGGGCTGTCCTGGACTGCTTTCCCAGGCCACAAGCCGGGAACTGGATGGGAAGTGGAGCTGCCGGGATTAGAACTGATGGGATCCTGGCACATGCAAAGAAAGGACTTTAGCCACTAGGCCACTGTGCCGGGCCCAGGAAGTATACTTTTCTCTTCCGAGAGTGGCATCTTTTCTCTGTATCACTTTCAGTCTGGTATTTATAGTCTTAAAATGATTCTTGATAGGTAATTGAGTTAGTATCACTAACATCTTATTAGAAAATTACGTTGGGTTCTGTTTGTGACTTTCACTTGGAAGATCAAAAGCAGTTTCTTGTAAAGTGCCCAGAGCACCATAGTGAAACTCCACAATGCCAAGGGGCAGTTTTGTAGCTGTGGAATGCATAGTGAATCAATAGAGCACCAGTCTTTTCTCTGGAAAGCTTCTTGCATTAATTGTATTCAAATAAAAGTTTGGCAGCTGTCACCCTTCTTTAAAGAAAATATTAAGTGGAAAGTTAGTTTACTGTTTTGTCTTAGGGACTACAGAATCTGAATGGTTTGTATTTTTAAAAGGTAGTATAAGTTTTTAGAGGGAGTGGACAGTAATGTCCCTTAAAACATTTTACAATTCATAAGATTATATATTTCAACTGTGGGATATTTTACAAATTGCATGTGGTAGTAGATGCTTTTGATACTTTGATAGTGTGAATTATGTTATAAGTGGAAGATTAATATATCTTTTGGAACATATCAGTAAATTTTACTGATTTCATTGGAAGCTTCTGTTTTCATTGAATTTGATATCAGGTAATATCAATTCAGAATCAGAGTCTGCTAGCTTAAGTATATTACTGACTAATTTCTAAAACTTAGAAATAAAATCATCTCTGCAACAAAAAGAATTTTTGACAATAAATTATCAGTACCTAAATTGAGTTTGAAATCCTTTTTCATTGTATGGACCGGAAGGCCCAAAGGATGAACTGTAATTTGACTTAATTCCCTTTTACATTTAAAAACATGCAATTTAGAGGTTTTGAAACTTTTAAATATTAGCATTTATAATTTGTTAGTACTAGAAATAAAGCTCTGGATCGTGTGATTTATTTTATAAAGATCATGAATGTTTTTTGTTTTTATCCCCCTACTTTTTTTTACAGTGCACCTATACTAAGAATTTTTAGCAGGATATGCCTTTAGTTTAAATGAAGAATGTCTCTCAACTCACCTGTATTTCTTGAAGAAAGTGAAGAAAGTAATTCAAAATTTGTGGAAACAAAACAGTCACAGACTACTTCCGTAGCTTCAGAAGATCCCCTTCAGAACTTATGCTTAGCATCTCAAGAAGTTCTTCATAAAGCTCAACAAACTGGGAGATCAAAGTGTCTACAATGTGGTGGTTCCAGAATGTTTTACTGCTATACATGTTATGTCCCAGTTGAAAATGTACCTACTGAACAGATTCCACTTGTGAAGGTTGGTAGAAGATGTAATTGTTTGAAAGTAGGAATATCGATTTTAAAACATATGTTTGGGCTAATAGAAGTGATAATCTGGGTAAATAATATTAAGAAAACAATGTATTAGTGAAAATTGTTATTCTGCTAATTGATAAACATTTTTCACGATGAAAACACTTAGATCTGAAGTGAATGATGTTGTTTTTAATGAAGCTGATTACTTTAAAAATTAGTGATTATAAGTTTATTAACACTGTAGTAGAAACATGTCGTGAACGTGAATACTAAAAGGACTAAATTAGATGCTTACCTAAGGAGTGCTTTTCTTAGGCTTTTGTGATTTAGTTCACAGCTTCATATGGACAGGAAATACTAGATGTCACTCATCAAACTGAACTGAACTAGAGTTTAAAAGATTGGGAGCTGTTCCCTGGGCTGTGTCAGATTTAAAGTTTATTTCAGTCAGTTGCTTACTTTTTCTTTCTTGCTTGCTCATCAAAATTACTTTATGAGTGAAAGGCCCATACATCTTCATGTTACATGATAAAGTTTATTACATGCATTAATGTATCCTAACCTTAAGAGTAAATGAAATGTATAGAATTTGACAGCTGCCTGATAGGACTTTAGAGAAACTAAACTCTATATAAGAAAATGAATTGTGCTATTTTTCCTATTGTTACTTGAATTTCACTTGAGCATTTTATTTTTGCTTGTTTTACATTAGCTTCCATTGAAGATCGACATCATTAAACATCCAAATGAAACAGATGGCAAAAGTACTGCCATACATGCAAAACTCTTAGCACCTGATTTTGTGAACATTTACACATATCCTTGTATTCCAGAATATGAAGAACAGGATCATGAAGTAAGCAGCTTATTTTTCATAGCTTTTCACATTTGATTATAAAGTGAATTTTAAATTCCGTTGCCTTTCTGAACTTATTTGAATATAATTCATTATTTTCTTATTAATAATATAGCTTATTTCCTAATGTCTTCAAAGGTCAAGTGATCCTGTATTGTGCTTTTTTTGAGTCAGTCTTTTTCTTTATAGTTTTCTGCTGCTTTCTTTTTCTTTCTTTTTTTTTTTTTGTTCTAGCAGTACTTATTCTACAATTGTGAGGATAGCCTGGTGTTACAAAGTGTGTCTATATAACTCATAACATTAATTAGACAAAATCACTATTATGGTATGTTGCATTGTTTTCATACTTGAGATTGTTGCAAAAATTTCTATTGTTTTACTGATTTGTTTGTTCCTACAATAGTTATGTGCTGTTTTCATTTTGTTACCATAGCTTTACAGTATACATTTTTATTTATTACTATAGCTTTTTTTTCACATTTTATTATTATTGTTATCATTTTACGATACAGTTCCATATTCCCCTATCCCCTCCCCAATTCCCTGCCCCCCCAGTTCCTTTATATCATTATTAACATATAGTTCTTCATACTCAGTCATATGTTCATCATTGCGGGCATGGACAATGGCTGAGAGTCCAGAATCCTATTGTCAAAATATAATATAAACAGTTTCGCTGTAAGTCCATCTTTGTCTGGAAACAGAGATGCTGACCACACTGCATCCTCACATCTGGTTGTTAGTCTCCATTACATAACTACTGTACATCCCCTTAAATGAAAAGTCATGGTACAGCATCAACAATAGAAAGAAAAATCGAAATTTACAATGCCATGAAGTTAAATGACATGTTACTAGATATGACAGTCTCCATTACTCTTTTTTTTTTCTTGGCATTGCCAGTTTTGTTATGTGTTCTTTCCTTTCTTCCCTCTTACTCTAATTCCTATATTAGATGTGTATAATTTAATCTGATGCAGACTGAAAAACTAGATTACAAATATTATTGTGATTTCTTCGAAATAACAAAATAAAGTCTGCATTGGAAGGGTTTTCAGGAATTCTCCCTAGTTTAAGTGTTGACCATTTATTTTGACTGCTCAGAGGTCTTCCCTTGCTTATTGCTAAAATTTTTTAAAGAATTATTTTATTTTTTAATTGGAAAGGCAGATATACACAGAGAGAAAGATCTTCCATCCACTGATTCACTCCCCGTGTAGCTGCAATGGCTGGAACTGAACTGATCTGAAGCTAGGTGCTTCTTTCAGGTCTCCCACGTGGGTGCAGGGTCCCAAGGCTTTGGGCTGTCTTCAACTGCTTTTCCAGGCCACAAGCAGGGAGCTGGAAGGGAAGTGGAGCAGCTGGGATAGAACTATTGCTCACATGGTATCCAGGTGGATGTAAGGAGAGGATTTAGCCACCAGGCTATTGTGCTGGGCCTGGTTTTTTTTTGTTATTGTTGTTGTTCGTTTGTTTGTTTTTAAGATTTATTTATTTTTATTGGAAAGGCAGATTTGCAGAGAGAAGGAGAGATAAAGATCTTCCATCTTTTTGTTCACTCTCCAAATGGCCTCCATGGACAAAGCTGAGCCAGGAGACCCCTGTAGTTCTCCCGTGTGGGTGTGGATATAGGGACCATGGACTTTGGGCTGTCTTCCATTACTTTCCCAAGACACAAGCAAGGAATGGATGGAGAGTGGAGCAGATGGGACACAAAACCCATATGGGATGCTGATACTTGCAGCCAATTAAGCCATGGTGCCATCCCACTTATTGCTAGATTCTTAATTATTTTTCACATACTTGAAGTTTTCATGTTGGTGAGATATGTTTAGTCTTTTATTAAGTAATTTCACAACAGATTTCCAAAAAATTAGACTTTTGAAAGAATCATTCAGATATATTTAGAACCCTTGGTAACATTTATTGGTGTTGTCAATCTAGGAATAAAGTAAAAATTTTATAATACACTCATTTATCCCCCAAAAATTTTGATAAGTTTTTCCTTCCTTCTTGTCTGCCCTTCCTTCTTTCCTTCCTTCCTTCCTTCCTTCCTTCCTTCCTTCCTTCCTCTTGTATAATTATCATATGCAACTAATTATATATGTTAATAATCTCTGAGTTGTAGATCTAGAATACACTTGGATTTCCTTCTCTTGTCAGCTATATAGCAGTTATGTTGACTATATAAATACAATGATAGGTTCTGTTAGGAGAATCTTGAATAAAATCCTAAATCCAGCGCCTTAGACCACTCGGCCACACTACCAGAGTTTGAACATAATCCAAGAAAATTAAGAAGTCCTGGATTTTGCTAAGTGAGTATAGGTATACATTATTGAAACTTGAAAAGTTTTATCACTTCAAAATTCAAAAATTCAAAATTATTTCTTAATTTTATTTATTATGAATTTGTTTTTAGAATGTTTGCTTTTTCATGCTCAAACAATGCATATGTATCATAGATGTTTGACCTAGTAGTTGATATGCCTGTATCCTTATTGACTTCTAATACCTGTGGCTTCATGCTGATGTGAACTTGGGGAGGTAGCAGTGGTGGCTGAAGTAGTTGGATGCCTGCTGGCCACCTGAGAGAACTAGGTTGAGTTTCTGGATGCTGCTATGGGTCCTGGTTCACACTTGGGCTGTGGTATGCATTTGGCAAGTGGACTATCAGATAGCAGTTCTCTCTAATGCTAGGTTTCTCTTTATCTCTCTGTTTCCCAAGGAAAAATTTAGAAAATGTGAGGAGTAGGGAAAAATGTGAGGGAGAACATCTGTGAATTTTTTGTTTAACAAGTGTTTATTGGCTGCCTACATTGTGTCAGAAACTGGGCACTGAAGGTTCTAACAGTATGATAGCTCAATAAAATATGCTGAAAGAAATGGGGTACCATAATTTACAGATTTTTTTACATGAAAGTCTTATTTTCATTTTACTATTTTATAATAGTAGTATACTTTTTAAAAAGATTTATTTATTTTACTTGAAAGAGTTACAGAAAGAGAGAGAGAGACAGAGAGAGATTTTCCATCTATTGTTTCACTCCCCATGGCCAGAACAGTTCAGTCTAAAGCCGGGTTCCAGGAACTTCTTCCAGATCTTCCATGTAGGTGTAGGGGCCCAACCAGTAGGGCCTTCCTTCTCTGCTTTAGCAGGCCATTGGCAGAGAGCTAGCTCAGAGTGGAGCAGCAGGTAAACTGGTGCTCAAACAGGATGCCTGTGCTGCAAGTGGAGAATTAGCATTCTGTACCACTATGCCAGCCCCATATAATAATATACTCTTTAACACATATTCTTTATTTTGGGTATGTGTGTGTAGGATTAGTTTGTTAAAGATTGAATTTCGTAATGAAATCATTGAAGCAAAGATATGAACATTTGAAGACTTTGGATTTAAATTGCCATATTGTTTTCATGAAAGGATATGCTATTTTATCCTTCTGTCAGAGAGTGAAATTTTTGAGAGATAGAGAAAGTAACAGCCCTTCAGGCCCATTACACCATTTCTAGCCAATATTCACTGAATCTTTTTTTTTTTAATCTTTGCTTATTATATACTTGCATTGATATTTAATCGCTGAGAATTTTACACTGATACTTCTTTGTTTTATTTAAGTTTAAAGACAGAGAAACACAAACATGGAAACAGTGGTTGGGGGAAAAGAGTTCTAGGCTAAGCCATACCAAAGCCAGAAGCTGGGTAACGGACACCCAGTTTACTTGAGTCCGTACCTCCTGCCTCACAGAGCGCACATTAGTAAGAAACAAGGACTCCAACCTAGGATCCTGAAATGGGTCGTGGACCTCGTAAGTGGCATCTTGAATACTACCAAATGCTTCACTTACAGTATTCTTTTACAAAGTATTGTATACTTTGCCTTTTACTTTATTAAATATTACAGTGCTTTTTTGATAAAAAAAAAAACTTCATAAAAGCGCTATTACGTTGGCCCTGTAAGTCATTGAATAACTTTATTTTGAAATAATGCATGCTTTTAGGTAGTACTTTATAATTATGAACCACTGTAGAAAAAATAAAACTTTACCAACCATACAAAGGAAGCACCGACCATTGCTTCTTTCTCACACATTTTAGGTCTGTTATTCTTGAAGTTTTAGATTAGTCAACTTTGAAGATTAGTAGCTCTTACTCAACCAGGTCTCTTTGTTCTAGGTTGCGCTTGTTTTTCCTGGACCTCAGTCTGTCTCCATAAAAGATATCTCTTTCCATCTACAAAAACGAATGCAAGATAATATTAGAGACAAAAGTGATGACTCTGACAAGCCAACTGTTAAGCGTAAAAAAACTGAAGAAATGGAGGACCTTGATTTGATTGGCAGCAAGGGCACAACACTGAAAAAAATTATTTTTATAGATAGCACTTGGAACCAGACGAACAAAATATTCACTGATGAGAGACTTCAAGGTAAGAAAAAGAAGTATTTGGATTGCCCTTTGAGTCCTTTGTGACACTTCTTCATTAGTCTTTCTGATAAAATATGGTGTCTCAAGTACACTTGTCCTTTTTATCTATCCCATGTCTGGAATCAATCATTTTAAGGCGGTGGGGGGCTCTGATTCATTTTGATTGGAAATGACATTAAAAAACTAATATCCGATAAATCCATTACCATTCGGATGTTACTGCCTCAGTTGGGAGAGACAAGAAAAATGTATATCATGAGCTCACAAGGACAGTTCCAAGTGAGATTCAACATTACAAAGATTTTTTTTTCTGTGGTTCTTTTTCTCTTGTGAAAGTTAGAGACTTAAAGTAGTTTACTTGCCCAAGTGAAGTACCCAGTGATATGAACAATAGGAGCTTATATTGTCTCTCTTGTTCTCTTGCTCTACACAGCACTTTACTTTAGGCTTTCAGTTTCTCTAAAAACTAGGTTTATTTCGAGCTGTTTGATGCCTTTGTGAATCTAGTGGAAGAAGGCAAGAAGTGAATGTTACAAGTTTCAGCCTGGCAGAGTTTCTATCAAGTTAGTATGGAAAAATGTGCATAAAGGGAAAAGAAAGTTTATGATGCTCTTTGGAATCTGATTGTTAGTTACCAGCTAATGGAATCAGCAACACTAGACTTAACTAGCTTAATTCATATAAGCTGCATCTCTTGAGATTTCGGTCATATAAGTAAGGCTGTTTCTTGGCAATCTTTGTGTTTGTGGGAAGTGGGAATTACTACAGAGAATAAGGCCTTTAAAAATTTTGCTGCTGGTGTTTAATAGAAGACAAACTACCCCGAGGCCCTCCTCTTTGAAAGTGAGAAGGAGCACTGAGTGCCACATTCCCTTGGCCAGATGTTTACAGCAACAAGTGACTCCTCAGTTGGAAGATTTTTTCTGAGCCATTTTTTCTTTATAATTACCTTATTTGGTAATTGAAAGGATCAAATGAAAGAACATAAGTGAAAACCCCTGAAAAACTATAAAAGGAATTATTGTACTATTCAAAAATCTGTTTGTGCTTCAGGCTTGCCTGAAATCAGATTTGTCCAAAACTTTTCTGTTATTCCTTTCCAATCCACATAGAAGTGCTATTCAAAAATTTTGAAAGAGCTTTCTTAATCCCTTCAAAGTCTTAAAATAAACAGATTTCTAGAGGCAGGCGTTACTGCATGTCTTAATTCAATCCCTGTCCCTTCTGGCTTCTCTTTGCACCACAGGGACCCATACACACCTACATATAGCCTCTGTTACATGTTACATTATCAACTTCTGAGTAAGCCACATTGCTTCCACAAGAAACAATCCATGTTTGTTAGAAATCATTGGCTTTAGTTTTTTGTTTTATTTTCCGTTTATTTGTGAGAGTTACTGAGACAGAGAGGGAGAGACAGACAGGGGTCTTTGATTCTCTGGTTTCCACTTGTCACCCCCTTAGATGGCCACAGTGGCCAGGAGTTAAGAGCTTTACTCAGGTCTCATGTGGGTGACAGGGCACCAACACTTCTGCCATCTTCCACTGCCTCTTACAGGTCCATAGTAGGGTGCTGGATTGGGACTACAGCAGCCTGGACAGGAACCAAGATCGATAAGAGGATACTAGGGTTGCAGGCAGCTACTTATGCTACAAGGCTAACCACGGCTTTAGGTTTTAAAACAACTTATTTAATGCAATTAACTAAATAGATTGATTTTAGTCTCACTTTTAACTTAATTATAATGTAATGAAAGTTACATTTCTGTTACTTTACTGTTGAGAATGCTAAGTTTAAGAATATTCTTAACAATCTGAACCCATATATACTGTATTTGAATAAAAATTTACAGTGCTTTAAGATTTTTTTCCAGTGTCAAAATAAGATGCTGGAAGGTTTACTGCCTAATTTAATGATAAAATATAAATCTAAATCCATATGTGAATAGTGAAAGGAATTTGGCAGTTAACCTTGGAAGACTGGGAAGAGTGCAAGATTAAGGATGCTTCTTTTTGTTGAAAGAGAGCCCAGATTATAAAATGTTATCTGATATTGTACTTGTTTAAAATTATTAGCCAATTCACCTTTTATTTTGACTGCATTGATACATTTTTCAGAAGAGTAATTTTGTTCACGTTTTGAGTATTGCTTAAACTACGCTCAATGTGTCAAGGCGTCCTGTGTCATCTGCAGATGCTCCTCAGATTATGTTGGAGTTACCTCCTGCACACCCACACTAAGTTGTAAACATCATTAAGTTAATAATGCGTTTACTACACCTGATCTAGTAGGCATTGGTCATAACGACACCAGCACCATACGATACAGCATGTCAGAAGTTTCACCTCACGAATCCTGAAGCTTGTTGTTGACCTTCACAAGAGTATTGTGGTGCATATTGCTAGCCTGGGAAAAGATTAGCACTTGACATTTGAAGTAATCTTTCTATTAAAGCCATACAGCTTTCACACTATTATAAATTAACAAATCTTAAGGTTAACTAGTATGAGTCAGGAGTTGTCTGTTCTGCTGCATTTGGTTCTCAAAACAAACCATGGGGGTGGACAAAATTTTATTCACATTTTGCAGTTGAAGGAATTCAGACAGTGACTTTGGCAGGGAAGTCATTTGTAATACCAGCTTTTCGTTTTTGTTGCAAGATATGTTCATGTGCAACTTGAGCAATTAAATGAAAAAAGTAAATAACTAGAGAAAATACTTGCAGGTTTAAGCTGGGAAAACAAATCATTGATTATTAGACTTCGTCCGCAGTCACATCTTTTAAATTTTCTTTTATTGCCTGAGGCATAAGATTCGTATCCAAGACAGATTTCAACATCCATGTTTAGAGGCAATAATTGAAATAGAATCTAGAAGTAGAAAAGTCATAAGAGGAAAACAATTTTAGTTGTGCTAATTACTTAGAACATTCTCAAATGTCTGCCTTTATCTCTGTTATAATAAGCCAATCAAAAGGGTTGTAATTATTGTGTGCACTGGAATCCAAATCATTGAAAGAGAAATGTTTTCAAAATACCTAATAGAATACTTTAATGGCAGAATGGCTTTATGATTGGTCCATTCACTCCTGGACAGCCAATGTCCTAGATTTGAGGTTTGAGGAAAGAAAATAAAATTCTCTACCTTCTGATTGGTCACAGAGGCTATAGAGGGATATAGTTACCTGCAGATGATGGAAATCCTTGCTAGAATCTTTTGACAAGGTAACAGCCTCACTTTTTACATGTGAAACCCCAGAGGTGGATAGTGTGGCCTATTGCAGGTGCTTCACAGTGCCATTTCGGGCCTGAGCTCCTGTTTCCCTCACTCACTATTACCTTTCATCCTTATGCTTGTAAGACATCTACTAGTCTTTGAGGATCACATATTTATCCCAGCAAAAACTGAGGACAATGAGTCATATATGTTTGTCTTCTACTCTACATCCCCTCCCCTATTTTGTTGTTGTTTTGTTTTTATTTTTATAAGGGAGATTCTTCATAATAGATTTCATTTTCCCTTTCTTTGACTAGAACTTGTTCATATGACCACCTTGGCTTTAAGGAAGTCTGAAATTGTTTTTTAGTTGGACACATGCCATGTTGAATATAAGTGAGATTTTGTTAGTATGAGGGAAAGAGAAAATGAATATTGAGAAACAGTGGGTGTTTGTTGTGAGAAACAAACAAGAAAATACTGTAGACTCTGGATGCAGTGACTGTATCCCCTGGAAGATTTCAAGAGGAGGTGCTGTTGCCTTGAAACCTGGATGGATAGAGTGGTGATGGGATTACGTTTTAGGCCAAGGGAGTGGTATATGCGTAAGAGCATGAAAATATCAATTTGCATCTAGGAAACATTTTTTGTCCTTGATACTGTGGCTAAGATTGTATTCATATAGGAGGCTGGTAGAACAGACTGTGAATGTCCTTGAATGGCTATTGTGACTTCATTGAGAAGTTTTATGCTTGTCTTCCACACAATTGGATTGTATTTTAAGTCCAGTGGAAAGAACTGTTTGTATATTGCCAGTTCTCAGACCCGGTCCTTTGTTTAAAAATAGACAATGATTTGTTTTTGTTTTTGGCTTTATTGGAACCTTTTTTTTTGTTAAAAATCTTACATATAAAAGACTATATGTAATATTATGCCATAGCTAATTATGTACTAATTATATACTAATTAAATAATGAATAGTTAAGAACCCAAGCACCAGAATAATGCTACTTCTATGTTCTTCTCCCCCTTCCATGCCATTATCTCCTCTCTCAAAGTTATTCTGAATCACTTATTTTTTAAAACTTTATTAGTTTTTTTTGAAAGGCAGAGAAACAGTGACAGATTTCCCATGCAGTTGTTAACTCTTTAAAGGCATACAGAGGACCAGACTGGGCCAGAGTGAAATTAAGAACTAGGAGCTCATTCCAGTCCTTCTGGGTGCATGTTAAGGACCCAACTGCTTGAACCATCAACTGCTGCTTCCAGGGGTACACACTTAAAGGACTCTGGAGTTGGAAGTGGAGCTGGGATTTGAACCTAGGCACTCATATTAAGTATGCACATATTGCAAGCTGTGTCTTAATTGTTAGGCCAAACACTGTCCCTTTTTACTTTTATGGATTCTAGCATTGTTATATGTATCTTTTTTCATAATCTGTATATTATTTGATTTTGCTGTATTTTTACCTGGGTTTTCTTGGGACTTCCTTTACAAAGTCAACATTTTGTTTCCAGTGTTTGATTATATTGTCAAATGACTACAGCTATCATTTATCCATTTTTACTGCTGTGAAACATCTGACTTTCTGAATATATAAGTTCACGTGGTACCCTGTTGTTGAAATGGTTAGGTTATTTCTAGTTTTTGCTACTGATAGTGCTACTACATTTCTTATGCATGTACAAACTTCTCTAACAAACGTAATTAGGGGTCAGATTGCTGGGTTGTTGAATGTGACAATGTTCAGCTCTGCAAGATAAAAATTCTTTTCTAAACAGGG